AATTGTTCGTATGCATTATTTATAGCCAGTCAACTGGTATGGCAAACGGCCAAAATCGGCCAATTTGGCCAAAATAATGTGGCCTTCTGGCAATCATGAAGCCCGGCAAGAAAAATAATAACAATTAATAGAATAATAATAATAATACAATAACCATAATAGTATTAATATTATTATTATGTTCATGGGGGAAGGGCCCCCCCACCCTCTTGGTGCTCACCTCACCCCCCGTGGGGGAGAGTCTCCCCCGCACCCCTCTGGGGGCTCACCTCACCACCCCGTGGGGGAGAGTTTCCCTCGCAGCCCCTTTGGGGGCTCATCTCACCCCGTCGTGGGGGAGAGTCTCCCCCGCACCCCCATTTGGGGGTTGTAACGGAAGCGATGCTCCCGAATTTCTCGAATATCCTGCGTAGAGCCTCAGCGTCCACCTGGGGGCTCAAGGGCTCGACCCGCACCGCGGGGTAACGTAAGGTCTCGTCCTCCCCCTGGGGGTTTAGGGGCTCAACCCCCATCGCTGAACATTGGGGTTCCACGTCACTCATTGTTGGGGGTCGAATTCCCCCTGCCTGAAGTCGTGCACTAATAAATGTGAGGTCAGCATTTATAAATGAAATCATACTAGAATCATTTATAATTTGCATTATAAACAGAAGTCAGATGGGTTTGGCAAGAGTGTTTGCAGCTTTAGCAAGAACAAGCGGGCTTATGCCATCAGGGCCTGGGGCTTTATCCCCTTTGAGGTTTGCCAGCACCAACATCAAAAAGCAACAGGGTGACCAATAATAGTGTTCGGTATGGAAAATGATGAAAACACAACATATATACAAAATAAAGAAACAATGAACAACATCCGCTTGGCTTGTAAGGTTCAAACCTCGATGCCAGGTTTTCCTGTAAATGACTGTTCCTTCTATTAACAAGTAATAAATATTGCAAGAACTTCATTTGCTCGTCGATCGCTCATGCAGAATTAAATAAAAGGGTATCTCCTACAAGATTTTCGTTTTCTTCCAGAAAACTTTCTTTATTCTTAAAAAACGTTTTCCCCAGTGAAACTTACTTAAATTCAAAATTGATATGCAAATATCAAAGCAACAAAACGATCGCGGCCAAGGGCTACGACCGCTAGGACACGGTCTCAATTTTGCTTACCTACAAAATGCGATTTTTGCTAGTCACCGCACGAGAGTATCACTATAATTTTGGCTGCTATCTACCTGTCTCTTATACACATCTAGATGTGTATAAGAGACCGGTGTTACTGACCTACGGATTTTAGAATCCCTGTACATTTTTAAACAGAAACCTGGTTTAAATGCAGCCTTCAGCTCCTATCCCCTTGAAATTGTAAATAGATAGGCCTGTCTCCTTATGTGTATTTGTTTTTATTTTGTCAATTTATGTTTTTATCTTCGATGTGAATTTAGTTTTCTAATTGATTCTTATTTTCTTATAGGTTTTGAACTTTTGAACTGACGATGGAGCTGGACTCCGAAACGTTTTCATTCTTAAGAAATGGTTAATATTCTGGCTGTTTTCTTTGCTTTTAAATTCCTGGTAAACTTGCGACTTAAGCAATCTAGTAATTTTAATGATTATTGAATTTAGTGTGATGGTAATAAACCATTATTGTTCACATATTAAATGCCTATGACATTCCGAAAGAAGTAAAGAAACATAAGCAAGCTATTGTAATTAACTTTTCCTGATATTATTTTAACTGACTAATAACGCGAAATCAGCTATAACTTCTGAATGTAAAATCGTAATGACAGCACAGCGACGAAGAATGCGCGTGGATACTAAAGCAATTAAGATTATCACTAGATTCATATAAGGTAAAAATTTCTAGCAGTCATATGAGTCTTTGAAGTCACGCAAAAAATATCTGCCCTGCCAAGTGGGTAATTAAAAGATATGGGGCTGAACTATTCATCATTTATATTTGAGAAATAACAAGCACCTATGAGTGTCATTGTTTATAAGAACGCAATTAATTTCGCCAAAATGCAATGAGAGTTATTCCAGAATGCAATTCTTATATTACTATTTTAAATATTGAATGGATAATTATTCCTTAAACTCAAATTAAGTTACAGAATAATCAAGGGCATGCGAGGAGACATTTCGATTAACATTTATATATAGCGATATTTTCGTGTGCTTTATTTGATAACAAAATCACAGTATAAGTTTTACAGTTTACTGTAACAATAGCGATACAAATCTTTTTGTAAAAGTCCGCTTAAATATGGACGATTATGTGAGTGTTTATACAGATCGTGTAGATGAGATAATAATTAGGTAGTATAAATTAGGTAGTATAAATATGAATGAAATGCTATTATTTTACGGCGAACTAATTTGATGAGGGAAGAAAGAGATTCAAAATTTTAATTAATAGTGTATTAAACCTAAAAAAATGAGTTCTAGGCTATGGTTTGGTAAAAATAAGATATCGCTTGTGAAAGAATGTATATTACATTTTTTATTTTGAATCGCGGCATTTACTTTCATGTCAATGAAATGGCAAGAAAGAACTGCAAGGCTGAAAACAAATTCCTAAAAATGTTTCCTGTCTGCTAAGACGAGAAAATGTTTATTTGTGCTGTGCTATTGCTAATATATGTATATAATAAACGGCGTAATCTTGATGATCCGTTAACCCTTCTACTTAAGGACTACACAATCCCGATTGAAGAGAAAAGGCAGATATTGCCTAAAGTGTACGCGTGGATAGTTATGATAAGAATTTCGATGGCAAATGGACGTGTTGGCCAACGTAGTCGATGATGAAAGGCGGTGGTTAGATATATGGCTCGATCACTGGCGCCCATATGGTTCTGTAAGGTTAATAGTACGAGAATGATGGAGTTCCACAATTTCTGAGGTCAATATTCTTTCAGAAGATGGTAAACAAAATACTTTGTAATATTTGACGAATGCTATTGAGTTTTTTCTATGTTGGACGACATTGGTTGTTCCTAGTGTGAAGTAAGTAGGTATAAATAATAATATACCTGTAGTATGAATAATGCATCTGTATTGCAGGAAAGGAATACATTAATTGTTGAGTTCAGTGTTACTGCGCCTATGGCTTTTGAAACGGTTTTGGCAAATGCAGCAGAGATACTATTTTGTGGTGAAGACTTAGTGATCCTTTAACTTGGTCAAAATAAACTATTGCAAATGTCAGTTCATCATAATCATCATGATAACTTAAAATAAATAAAACTAATATTTGGTACTTGTTGTATATCATTTAATAGTATTTCTTGAACTGACATAATTATGATTTGTGTCAATTTTTAATGAAGGAGTATACAAAATTTTTACTTTTTCAAAGCACCATATTAACCATTTTAATGGCATTATACAGCATTGAGTATTTTGAATTCAAAACTTGGATAAGTTGGATATGTAAAAATATATGGAACAATGCCTAGGTGGTTGATCAGACAGGAGGGAACGAATTTCTATGAGATAATCCTGCAATTCTTCTAACGGCATCCGGAGAATTGGAAATTATCGGTAGTGCTAGGCCCACTTATAATAATAAATAATAATAATAGTGGTTTCAGCGTTTATTAGGCCATAGGCCTGTTGCCGATTCTTAACATCACAGAACATCCACAGCATTTTGCGGTTTCGAACTCGCAACTCACTGCTACAATTCTGCTGTGCTTAACCGCCCGGCCTCCTTGCCGATTCTAACCATAAACTGGCGCACAGAGCTAGGATCGAACCCGCGCCTCTCCGCGCCAATCTTGGTCCTCTGAACTTTAAACACTAGGCAACCCTGCCTACAATATTTAACAATGTTAAATAACTATTAACTATAACTACAATAACTATTTAGCAATATAAACAACTTTTGATGAGCTATCGCAACTCCAGACTAGGCAAACACACATAACTAACACTATATAACTTACCCAATGTGAGAACACCGTGCGCTTCTTCGAAACTATTGCGTCAATGTTCAAGTTTTCTCATCCTAATCTAAAATTTTGGATATTTAAATAATTTTGATTATTCATAAACTAGCGAATTTACAGCAATTACTTATGTTCCAAATTTTAAACAGATCCGTTAAGTATTGAAGGAGTTATGAGTGTTTCAGTCGATCAAGAAATACGTTTATTAGTTTTAATTGAAAACTAATTTATGTAAAAATCTGAAATAATTCCTGCCGCAGCGTATCGATAATAACTACTCATATTCTAAAATTGAGGCAAATCAGTTCAGTATTATAGGAGTTATGAGTCCTTCGGTTGATTAAAAAATACGTTTATTAATTTTAATTGAAAACTAATTTATGTAAAAACATGTAATAATTCCTTCCATTGCGTATCGAAAATAACTACTTATATTCCAAAATTCAAGCAAATCCGTTCAGTATTGTAGGAGTTATGAGCCTGTCGGTTGAATGAAAAATACGTTTATTACATCTAATTAAAAACTAATTTGTGTAAAAACCTGTAATAATTCCTGCCGCAACGTATCGAGGAATAGTGTAGAAAAATATTTAAAAAACCCTGTCCATCAAATTTTGTTGCAGATCCATACCTGGTCGCCAATTTCGACCCGAACGGCTCAGTTGGCTGCAGGTATTGAACCCACAACACACTGCTGCAATTTTGGTGCTATGAGCTTTAAGCATATTCGCACCTCTGCCGTAAAAATGTCGGTCTGGTACGAGCAAGTAATAATTTATTTTGTTACGTTGTCACAAGAATGTTGGAATTTTATCTAAATGGTATAGCAAGGTAATCATTTCCCTGTCAAGAAATGCAGTTCGTTGTTATAATCCTGTACAGACTCATTTTTTAAAGTTTTATAAATAGTTCGACAAGAAAGTTTCTTGAGAGTTTCAGCCTAATACTATTTTTCCTGTGCAGACTCATTTTTCAAGTTGTTCAAATTGTTCTACAATAAAGTTTTCGAAAAGTTTCGGCTTAATATTATTTTTCAGGGAACTTTATCATCAAAATTGCGGGAAGCCGTACTAGAACGTTTCGATGCAAACATAGCTTATGGTTCCGAGACGTTCTTGCGGTTCGGGTCGCGAATGCTGGCTGATTGATTAATTCAATATTTTTTGTATCTGATCGAACCGGTTCGATCTAAATATTCAAAAATGGTAAGTTGATGGTAATAAAATAATTGTGTAAATCATTAAATGTTATAATGATACTTTAATTATGTAAGGTGACGTGAGCTTGTTATAGGTACTTCAGCACTAGTAGGTAGTAGCCTAACCTCGTGTCATGAGATTGAGAAGAAACCGATTAGGCTAAGAGCAAGCTCAGCAAGCATCCTCAAGTTTAGAGCGGTCAGGGGCTAGAACCGCCTATGAGTATGAGACTATGAGTTAGGCTATATGAGCCTATATTTATGAGGTTCCTTCACTATGTCTCCGTCTGATTACTTTTTGCCTAAATAAGGTACCTAGGCAGATGTCTTAAATTTAGAATGCATTCCAGACATTTATTTTCATTTCATCATTGTTAGGATTAAGAATTTAAGATAGATTTTGTAAACTTTGTATTACATGATTTTCATCTTTTATCAGGAATGAAATGTTTGCACTCTGACTTTATTGTGAAGCATGCAAATTTTATTATTTTTTCAAGGTGTGTGATTTTTATCATTTATCCTCTACTGAATGGTCAATGGTCTGCCATCAGTGCCATGCATTTCAGAATCAGATCTCACTCACACTCACAGTGGTAGATAGGCTAAAAGAACTTTTCAGCTATTGCTAGACTAATAGGGTAAACCCGNCCTAATTAAAAGCGTAATTAAGTAGTGTTCAACATTCATTAGTGTTCTAATTCAAAGCCGTGTTGTATTCCAATACAGCTCACACAGCAAGCGGAATTTGAACATGTGGATGACGGCATTATGTATCAGTAGAATTTGAAGTGCAGACAGAATACGCCTCACCACGTGCCGAATATTGCCACACACAGTGTCGGAATATAGGGATTTGGTAGGTTTGCATTCTAAAGGCTTTTAAATAAATATGGCAACATTTTGTGACGTTTCATTGTTGCTGGCGCGTAGTACCATAGTGGCAAAGCAGAAAGTTTTTTAGACTCTCTTTCAAGTTCATTTTTGAGTTCTATATGTAGACCAGTAAAGTATCCTCGATACCTGCATTATCATACATAAGAAATTGGTATAAATCTTGAGTTATTGAGGAAATTAAAAATGAACTGATTCCAAAAAAGCTCTGGTTTGCCACTATGCGTAGTACGGTGTTTTGCAAGTCACGTAAAGCAAACAGAACTCAAGTAATGCATACGGTTATTTTTTTATAGTTTTTAATTTCTTGATGCGTCCTTAATGTGCCGGAATATACCGCGTTTACCCTAGTCTAGCAATAGCTGGATAGGTAATATATTCTAATGTTAACATAAGGTCATAAGAAAATGTATCGGAAAACCTACTCTACCACGTTGGTGACATTACAGTGATTACACCACCTTCCACTGCAGTGAAAATTGATACACTGACACTGAGCTCATTAGAAACTGCCGTGCTTCCAAAATCGCGCGTGGTTTGAAATCCAATCATGTGCAATGAATACTTTTCTAAAATAAGACAAGAACGTCCACCTTTGCAAAAAATTCTCATGATTAGATAATACCAACAAAGTTTTCAATCAGGATTGGCAATGATTAAATAAATCAAAATGATTAAATCTTGTGATTAAATCACTTGATTTTTTCTAAAAAAAAATCGGATTTTTCTTTGTTTTTATTTTTTATTTTTTATATATTTAAATATATTGAGTGGCAGTCTTTAATTTACTTGGAGGTATTGTTAGTCATGGTTTAGTGTAAATGTACTATGAATGACAAATCGGTATATAAACTTGTTGCTTTTAGTGCGTATTATAGGTTCCAATAAATTGAATGTTTTTGATACCAAGGCATCAAGTGTGCAATACATTGTACAGCTTAGCTAATGCAGCTAATTGTACAGCTGAGCTAATGCAGCTAATCTTATTTTTAGCTGATTAGCTAATTCTTATAAGGCTATAAGTAGTCTTTAACTATTTGACTATTTGTTATATATTGATTACAATATACAATTTAAATGTGTTAGCTAGCTTATACAGGGTGGGGCAGAATTGATTGAACAGTTTTGATACAAAATAAAAGAGTAATGAAGGTACATAGAGAAGAAAGTTTATTTTCCTCAAGATTAGCATAACATACTACCATTTAAAATAACATGTTTTGGAAACAATATCAGGAAGATGAGCTTTGTTAGCTGCATCACACTGTTGGAGTCGTTCTCAGAAGTTTTCTACAGCACGTTCACACATATGGCGAGGTATGGCCATAACCTCTGCTGTAATAATCCATTCCCTTAGCTGTGGTAGGGTGTGAGGGCAACTTCTGAACCCCTTTCTTTTAGATGTCCCCAAATGCTCAAATTTGGGGACATCTAAACTGTAAATCACCCCATTTACAAACTGTAAATCACCCCTCAGAGTTTGGGAACATGCGTTTCAAAACATTGAGTGACATTTGGGCTGTGTGAGCTGTAGCTCCATCTTGCTGAAACCACACCTCTCCCAATGCTTCATTTTCAACATTGTTTTCCATCCTGGGCTGCAAGAAATTTTGCAACATTGCAGCTTGGTGTTCGGAATCCACTGTCACGGTTACTCCCTCCTCTGAGAATGACTCCCAACAGTGTGTTGCAGCTAACAGCCGCCATCTTCCAGATATTGTTTTCAAAATATAAGTATTCTAAATGGTATGTTATGCTAACCTCTAGGAAAATAAACTTTTTTTTTTAAATAAAAAAAATCACCAACCCTCTTTTCAATATCACACAAAATTATGAGATTAATAACTTTTTCAAGGCGTACATTCACTAAGTGCTTCTACGATTACATTTGACATGGTGGTGTCACACATTTCTTTTGCTCATGTCAAATTTGATTTCACAATAAATAGACTTGATCCACATTCCATACTGAGATTTAAATGATTGAAAGTTGTTTTAAATTATAAAAACCCATTGATATGTTCCAGATTTGAATTTTTCAATTTTTTGTCTTATGTTGAATTTATCTTGATAACTTCACTTCAAAGTTCTGAATGATTTTGACTGCCATTGCGAGTCTTCAAATGTTTTGTGTCTTTTAGAGAATGTTTGATGTTTGAAACGGGAAATTATTTCATTATACATTATAGAACATTGAGCATGTACCATAAGGTGCATTAAGGTCATTCCATGCCAAGTGGTTAACCCTTCCCACCAACCACACACTCAGGATGATGCATGTGTTTGGGGAATTTTCCCCCGCACAATGAGTTTTTAAAGCCATAGGTTTGTGCAGTTGGCACAATGTAATCAAAATTGTTTCTCTTTGCACATGTGTTTGCGCAATTCTGGCCATCAATTCTACGCCTCGCAAGAGCAGTTTGTGGAGGAACAGACGTAATACTCAGTATAGTATGCCTTTAATTATCCTTCAATGGTTTTTCTTGATATGGAAATTTGGTGAATGAGAAATCTAGAACTTTATTTTAGAAGAAATTTTCTCCAAAGTCATATGGCAACTCTGAACACCGTCTGTTTACATTTCGTATGTTTAATAGCCCCAGTTTACGATTACCGTACGTTCCGTATCTGACAAGTGGAAGAGTCAGAAGTAACCCAGACATGCCTTACATTTTATTATTGTTAGTTCGACTCGCATAGTTGATATAAACTTTGATGACCAACGAAATATAACTTTTTTAATAGGGGGACTTCATGTTTATTAAACTACAAGTAATGATCTTTATTTAATTATAGCCATGTTGAAATGTTTTTTTTTTGTGAAGCCCACTTCTGGGGCCATATTTTCAAAACTTGCTAAGTAAACGTAAGTACTTACGCTCTATTTTCTTGTCTATGATTGGTGGATTTTGCTTGTGTGGCCATCAATGATTGGCTGATGGACTTACAATTTTTTGACTTCTTTTGAAAGTATGGGCCCAGGATCATTAATGTTTTTATATACATCCTCGTATTGTTAGGGACGCTCGCCACTTCCATCAGATCTTAAAATGTAAAAGTTTAATAGATACAGATTTGTATGAATTAAGTCATTCAATATCGTTAGCTAGATTAAATTAACTTAAGTTATGAGAACTTGAGAGACTAAAGTTATGAGAAAAGCAAACACTTTGAAATAAACATGTGCACAATTCAAATATTTTATATCCATTCACTGCATTTAATTATTTATATATAGTCTTATAATTGTAATTGTTTTGTTTCTAGTTTTAAATTCACATATTTAAAGATTAAAATTGTATATTTTAATTAGAATACTCATATTAGGGTGGAAAATCTTTCTAATTGCCTAAAAAGGTCAATACAATCTCAACCTCTCAATATACAGGATGGAGCAGAACTGATTGAGCAGTTTAGAGGTAAAATAAAAGAGTAATGGAGGTACATAAAGAAGAAAGTTTATTTTCCTAGAGGTTAGCATAACATCCCATTTAGAATACTTATGTTTTGAAAACAATATCTGGAAGATGGGGGCCATTAGCTGCAACACATTGTTGGAGTCATTCTCAGATGAGGGAGTAACCGTAACGGTGAATTCCGATCGCTATGCTGCAATGTTGCAAAACTTATTGCAGCCCATGATGGAAAACATTGTTGAAAATGAAGCATTGGGAGACGTGTGGTTCCAGCGGGATGGGGCTACAGCTTGCACAGCCCGAATGTCACTCAATGTCTTGTAATGCATGTTTCTCTGAGGTCTGGTGTCTCTGAGAGGTGATTTACAGTGGCCTGCAAGGTCACCTGATTGGAGCATTTGCGATTTCTTTCTTTGGGGACATCTAAAAGAAAGGGTGTGAAAAGTTGCCCTCACACCCTACCACAGCTAAGGGGACAGATTATTGCAGTAGAGGTTATGGCCATACCTCGCCATGTGTGAACGTGCTGTAGGAAACTTCCAAGAACAACTCCAAGAGTGTGATGCAGCTAACAGACACCATCTTTTCAAAACATAAGTATTTTAATTGGTATTTTATGCTAATCTTGAGGAAAATAAACTTTCTTCTTTATATACCTCCATTACTCTTTTATTTCGCCTCAATACTGTTCAATCAGTTATGCCCCACCCTGTATAAGCTAGCTAACACATTTAAATTTGATATTGTAATCAATATATAACAAATAGTCAAATAGGTAAAGACTACTTATAGCCTTATAAGAATTAGCTAAGCTGCTAGCTACATACAATGTATTGCACACTTGATGCCTCTGTACCAAAAACATTCAATTTATTGGAACCTAATACACACTAAAGGCAACAAGTTTATATAGGTACCAATTTGTCATTCATAGTACATTTATACTAAACCATGAATAACAATACCTCAATATAAATTAAAGACTGCCACTCAATATATTTAAATATATGAAAAAGTAAAAAAAATCATGATTTTTTATAAAAAAATCAATCGATTTAATCACATGATTTAATCATTTTGATTTAATCATTGCCAACCCTGGTTGTATTTACTTGAGGAAATTTAGTTCATTGTGGTCAACTTAAGAGACAAATTTTCAACTAACTAATAGTTTTATAAGTCTAATTTTTATTGTTGAGCAAAAGGTGCAGGCATACAACTTCCAAGCGATTACTTTATAGAAACTGAGCAAGTTAGTGTACATGTTTTAAGCCTTTAGGAAGTTCATTTTTTTGCCTCGAATAACGATGTTGGGTTGAAAAAGTGGTCTTGGTGGATCAAAACAATATATGAACCTCAAAATTAGAATTCCATCCTGTTGCTATCAGGAGTGAAAATTCTATAGATTTGTCCAAGCTTTGTTGTCATATCTACGCAAATACATAATGGTCAAAGCCAGAAAGTGCTGCATGTAGGCCAGAGGCTTATTTTGGGATGTATGCCAGTATGCTAAGGAAGCAAGTTACTGATATGCTTGCTACAGAACAAAAGTACAATTCTGACTGATGCCCATGATTGACAGTGACACATGCTATACAAATTTACAATCAATCATTAATGTGGCTGATGCCTGATGATCGACATGGATGCAAGCGATTTACGATTGATTTGGCCAATGTTCAATAATTGACACTGATACAATCAATGTGGACAATGCCTGATGATCAACATGGACACTCGTGCCTTACAATCAATCTAGATGATGTCAATGATTGACATGGACACTCATGCTTTACAATCAATGTGGTCTATGCCTAATGATTGACATAGACGTTCGTGCTTTACAATTGATGTGGCCAATACGTTTGCGCTTTACAATTGATGTGGCCAATATGTTTGCGCTTAACAATTGATGTAGCCAATGCCTGATGATTGACACAGACACGCGTGCTCTACGGTTGATGTGCCCGATGCCTGATGATCAACACTTTTGCAACTGCTATAGGATTGATGTGGTCCATGTCTGATGAATGAAATGAACACACTCATTTTAAGATCAATTTTGCCGATGTCCAATGATGAACATTGACGCATGTGCTTTATGATCAATGTGGCATAACACGCAACACAATGATATAACACAATGTATCATTACACAACACATTATAACCCAACATAACATGACATCACATTATAACACAACACACTGTTACAAAAAATATCCTAACACAACACATTATAACATAACAGAATATATTGTAACAAAACATAAAACAATATATAATATAACAACACACACCTATAACCAAGCACAATATAACACATCCTAACATAACACAACACATTGTAGCACAACATAACATAACAAAATATAACACAACACATTAAAATATAACATAACACAACACAAGGACTTTTGCATTGACACAATTACAGAATTGAAAAGTTACCCATTTTCATTATGAAAATGTATTTATAAATGTTTTTCTTTAATTATTTATATATGGCTCTTTCTTACTGCAAAAATCTTTGAATATTGAGAAGAGCTCTTTATTTACTGCAGAAAGTATATTTATACTTGCCAGGCACTCAGTTACTCAAGCAATGGTTTGCCATCAGTTTGAAGAAATAAACAGCTTTTTTTATCTAAGTATCTTTTCTGTGATAAATTTGATTCCCTGCAAGGTTTGGTTTTGTAAATTGAATTAAATTCCCTGCCTGGGAAGGGGTTCAGACCTGAAACAATTGATTATGTGATTATGTTTGAACAGTTGGTGAACAATTTTGGTATTACTAATCTAGATGACATTGTTTAATTGTATTCTGCTTGCCTGCTCCTGCTTAATTCCTTTCAATGATTCAGCTCAACTTAGCAGTTTGTTTCTATGTTTTTCCCCTAAGTTTTGTATTTATGTACAAGACTGTCTGATCCTATATAATTTGTTATCTTAATTTATGGTTCAACTAATCTTCCCAATGATCAACCCAAAATCACTCAATTTGTGCACCTGTTAGTAATACCTACCTTTTCCCCCCCAGACTTTCTCCAAGAACAACAAGATGATGAACCATGTGGGCTACCGCATGAAGATCACAATGCAGGATAGCCGCACTTTTGTGGGAGTCTTCAAGGGTAAGAGTGTAAATACTTTGATTTTGTACATCACTAATCTTGCTTATTTAATCTTGTGGATTGGTAAATGAATTAAATGTAATGGGATTTATAATTATTGCCTAATCTAAGTTACCAGGTTAATGAAAATCGTACCTGGATGGGAATAAAGGTACCTATTTAGTAATTTCTGTGATTAAATTAAAAAACGATGTAGGTAGATGTCAGTTGAGAAATGGAAAGGATACAGAAGGGAATAATATTATAGCCACTCGGAGTTTGTGAATTTTTATCAAATGAAAAGTTGAAATTTGACACTATTCATGATTTTTACTAATGAACTTCAATTTTGCAGCTTTTGACAAGCACATGAATGTAATCCTGTGCGATGCGGAGGAGTTCCGCCGCGTGCGCACCAAGAAAGGCGACGGCGCTCGTGAGGAGAAGGAAGAAAAGAGATCAATGGGATTGGTGCTTCTGCGTGGGGAGACCATCGTTACCATGACAGTTGAGGGACCTCCCCCTCACGAGGACAACCCTAGGGTGAACCTCCCCATTGGAGGACCTGGCAGCAGCAGACAAGGTGGGAGTGACTTCATAATTGATGCCGTAATGTAGGTATATTATCATAACCTCGGCTGTGAGGATTATTTTATTTACAGTTGCAGGACAATTTAGTCCTCCATGTATTTTCTAAAATATATTAATTAATTCTCTTTTGGTTTCACTTGAGTTTCATCAAGTGGTCGGCATGCTTGTTGGCATGTCATTTTATATCTCCCGTATTGTGAGATGGTCGCAATGCTTATTGGCAGGTGGCTTCTTGTCCCTCGGCGTTGGCAGGTCTCATGTCCTCCGTATCAACAGGTGGCCGCGGTGCTGGCGCCCCCGCTGGCTATGGCGGGCCGATGCGTGGCATGGGTGGGCCTAGCGGAAGCATGATGAACCCAGCAGCGCGGTCCGGACCTCAGAGCTACGGTCCTCCAGGCGCTTATGGCCCCCCAATGGGTCGTGGTGGCCCCATGGGCCCTCCTCAGGGCTATGGCATGAGAGGTACAGTTTTTAAGGTCCAAATTTAAGCCAATGCAAAAGTTTTTGCGATGATGTATTAAATTCACGGTAATAGTGAGAACAATATTAGCCCTTATTTGGGCTAGTTACCATGTATGATCACTTAAAATCGTCTCCCAAAAAGACAGCCCACGGCTCTCGATTTGTGTCTTTGAGGATACGTTATCATAATTTTCCCAAACGCCAATCATCTGACCAATAACATCACCTCCTACCTTGCCCAAAAATTCAAATATGAGCATTGAAATAAAATTCTTGGCTTGATCAGTGAAATTTATGCTCTTTCCGTCTTTTTTTTTCAAAAGACGGAAGTATCAATATCTATAAAATAATTTAAGGTAACCTGATTGAATTGAATTTAATTTAATCTTAGATGGTTGATCTATACATTTGCTTGCTTAAATTTGAATTATGCTTTAAAGTTTTTGTGTTGTGACAGCATTTATTGAATTATTCAAGTGCGATTTAGTATTCCAATAAGCAGAATTTTAAAAAATACATACAAGTTGATATATCCTTTAATAGTTCATATTTTTTTGTACTGGCTTCAAATACTTGAAATTTCTGCATGTTTCTTTGCTTGCTCGCAAAAGGAATCACGTACTTCCATGAAGGCTAAAAAATTCGCTGCGTATCTTAAAAAAATTCAACCATTTCTCTCGCGCTTAGCATATCTCAAAAATAGATCTCATGTTCATGTATGCAATTTCTCAGATTTTTGCAATGCAAATTAACGAAACGATGAGTTATTCTGGTTGTATTGTTCTTCAGGCTATCCAGCTGAATTCAAGGCAAATACCATTCATTTCCTGGACCTCGAATTAAGATTTCTCATATTTAGTTTTTATAAATTCATAAGTTATTTTAATATACGCTCTCAAGATGGCGGTTGATTTATTGTTCAAATGAAGGCTTAACCTGAGCATTTGTGCAGGTCCTGGAGGCCCTCCTCGATATTAGGTTGTCATCAGTCACCGCAGCCTGCCTCTACAAGCGTCCTCTGCTGATCAATACTGAACAAAATCGTGTAATTTTAGTTACATATTATTGTTTCAGTAAAATTTATTATTTTCGAGGCATGGCTCATAAGACAGGTTGAGCGGTGTAATGCCTATCGGGAAACCGTGCCACAGGCTTCGAGTATCATGTGATGTTTTTATAATAAAAGTTTTTGTTGATATTATAGTGTCATTATCTTTCAATTGTCTATTTCTTTGTGGATGTACCGGCTAATGAAATGATATCGGCCCACTCTTGTCTATTATGTTGCGTGATTAAGGGTAGATGGATTTGTTTGTACTTTATTTTGTCTGCATGAAAACGGTGCGTTAACAGTTTTCAAACAAGACTATTTAATGCCGTAAGTGTGACGAATGGCAATAGTATGTACGCCTCTTATACTAGTCATGTTCAGCTAAGATTTTCTCACCCTGACATCGTGGATCGTACTTCCCTTAAAGTTGAATACTCCTGCCATCGATGAGACCTCGCTTGCAGATGTCGAACTCCCATATATCCCTGGGCACTTGTTGGTGATAAGGTTTCCCCACTATCGACCGTCGTGGGAAGGCCTGTTCGTTGCACCTGACCTTATACTAAGCATTGAGAGGTCAATCAATTTGAAATATACATTTTACGAGAGCATGCCAAATTAATTTCTTGAAAATGGCCGTCCAATTGTCTTGAAAATTTTTCCATTGATAGTCGACTGACGTAATGTTGCTGAACGCTGGGTTATCTTCCTAATGACGCTACTGATCTCTTGTAATACCCAAAATATTCGTGCTATTGGCCTTCATGATAATAAATAAACTGCTGTTCACTATTAATAGCTATGCAGTAACGTGGAATTATTGGCTGTGCTAAGTAACAAGATAGCACTGTAAGGGGGAAAAAAGCCTGGCATTAATTGGGTATTGATACAGAATGGACTCTGGACTCGTGTTGATTCTTCGGTATTATCTTTTTCGAATGAAAAACTCGTAAATTCGTTATAATTTCGTGGAGTATTCCATGAGGGGATGAAACAACAGAATTCTCAATGGGAGTCTCTTCCAAAACCTTTGCAGAATTTAGCTTACATGCACAAACTAACTGCACAACGTAAACGTATTGAGCTATCGCACTGTCAGCTGCCTAATGATATGTTTGTTCATGAGTACGCGTCACCACCACACGTACAGCCGTGAACCCAAGATATTCCTTCAGATTTTCAACGATTTTAGAATTTATTTATGTATTTTGTGGTGCATGCTGTCGAATGAATACAATAATTTCATAATTATACTCGTGTGAGCGTGACAAGGCAGTTGATTTTTTTTTTCAGTAAAAACCTGTAGTGTTGTCCGGTAAATTCAACATTTTCCGATCAATTTCGCTGAACCGTGATCACCTATGAACTACAAATGCCTTATTTTGATTATAGTTGTCCATCAATCATTATTTTGTCCAGGAGTGGACCCTGTACTAACTTTTGTTTAGAAATAAATGATCATTGATTGGCATGGGTGTGAGCCACCTGTTGTTACCCAATGGTTTTCCCGTTCCAACGTCGTGTGCGTGCCTGAGAGAAGAGGAATGCTGCTACCCCGTCAACAGCAGAAGTTATGAGTTTTGACTAGGTACGAGTTATTGTCTGTTGCCTTTGATGTTTTATTGCTGTTATCGGAGCATAAAATGATTTATTCTGCACCTTCTACCATATCAGTCATCAAAATCATATTATTTAAAAGTATAATAGAAGGTTTGGACTAAAATCGCAGTTTGGACTAATAATAATGGTGCCAGCGTTGAATAGGCAAATTTTGACCAGTCGCGTATTCTAGACTCCGCAAAATTCTTACAGATTGCAAGGGTTTCAAATCGACCACTTACGGCTCCAATCTTGCTGTCCGCATCCACCCGGCCATCTCACCGATTTTGAATCGTACTGTCACTGGATGCTATTGCCAAACCCTCAATTTCAGCGCTTCAAACCTGGTACTCTAAACTTCACCATGGAAGTTCATTGTTGCCTTTGGTGCTTCAAATTCCCAGTCATAAATCGCCGCTGTCGGGAGTCAACTACAAGTGAACATGTTTGCCCCTAATTAACGGTCGCAACGGCGCGGACGCAAGTCAATAAACAGTCTGGCATATGAGCAAGCTACTGAAACATTCGCGCATGCCTGCGAAAATACGTCCGGGGCCACCGCCGTGCCCGGTCGAATCATCAGTAAACTGCGGGCACGCGAATTAAATTCTTCATTGACTGCCTAACTCGACTTGTTTGCGGAGATGCCTGCGCCAAACGGCCTGAGAATTTCGAATTGGGAGAGGTCAAGATTGCATGTTGCTCGGGTTTGACAATACATTTCTTCAGTTGAATTTTTCCCCATCGTTTGCAGTTTCAATGTCCAGACAAAAGTTGCCGAAGGGCACTGCGCAAGCCTTGACGTGGACATTGATGATTAAACTTTTTTTAGACGCTTTATTTACGGTTGTTTGCTGGAAAAAGTGTTCAATACAGAGATTATACCATACATGAAATAGTTGGTACAGTGGAGTGTGGAACGATTCGAGATTTGATCCGTGATTAATTTGATTTCAATAATCACCTAATAATTAGGAATAGTTAGATACTTTGTTCTTTTGACGCGTTTAACTTGTTTACTTGAAACAGAAAAAGTGATTACGCATCCAATATTTTCTTTTACACTTGCATGACTTCAATAAGTAACACATTGTCTGGAACAGAGCGGAGCTCTTTCATCGTACACCTAAATATTAGTATAAAAATCCGTAGATTATTATAAAAAGTGCTTACTACAAGTATTTAGGAGACCTTTAAAGAATCGTTGACTCTGAATGTTGCATAGTTGCCCACAGAAGTGGCAGTTTAATGCGTCGGATCCAAACTTGAGAAATAGTCGTGACGGCTCGTAACGCATCGAGTTATTCCCTTTTGTTTAAATATTGCATGAGAAATATTGTAAATATTCTGTCAGAAAAATGGCTATTAAACTATTTTCACGAATAAATAAAGACTATCAATTGCTGCCTACAATCAAAAGTGATTGAGGAATTGCTAAAAAAATTAAAAAAAATTCTGATTCACCATCACTGTTGTAGCTCAATAACAACGAGTCGAAAGCGTTGCGCTATCGCATTTAAATGCTCGCGCACAGTATTTGCTTGAAGTGTAACGATCTAAAAAATATGAAGATCATTTGATTGCTTAAATCACAAACTAAGAAAAAATCTAAAAGCGTAGAAAATGCAAAGGAAATTAATGGTCTTTTAGTCGAGAATTTTTCGGAGGAGGCTCTACGATCAGTTTAAAATTTCAATGATACGAGTAAGGTCAAATTTGAAATACATTAAAAGAAGAAGATATTAAAACACCTAAATCGACGTTTGAAGAAGGTTAAACAAGGTTGAAACCAAGAGATTAGTAATTTAAGCGGATGAACTACAAGCGTTTTTTGGACAAGGCTGTCGTTTAAGAAATCTAATGATTCCGTAATATATAACTCGAAAGTTTTCGTTCTGATAATGGATCTAGTGTCCTAAAAGTTTTGAAAATAGAGTGAATTTTTTGGCATCTTTTGCTTCTAAGTCTTTCTTCGGAAAATGTTTAACTTATAACACACTGTGCTAATTGCGCAATGACTTGCTAAAAAGCATTTTTTCTAAACACTGAACCATCAAGGTTTACAATTCGTCATGTAGCATGTGAGAACGACGTAGAATGTTGCAGCTGACCCGCATAAGTTTCGCTTATATATAGCAGCCTGCTTCAGCCTGTTGTTAGCAGGCATCATTTGTTCTTGTAAGATGTTCATCAAGTCGGTCGTGGTTGCACTGGTGTGCTGCGCAGCCTTGGCTGTAAGTATACATTCATAATTTAGCTTTATTTCCTTCCAGACTATTAGTAAAACGCTTGTCTTCAAGTTTTTTTAATTACTTTTTTGCACTGAAACAACGTCGACTTGTCAATAAAAAATTAGAAAAACTTTGAATGGAAATTTTGAAATCAATTTTTGACCCGTGTCGAATAGTTAAATTGGCCTGAAGTGACAGAACTTAACATCACTTATTTGTCTGTAAGACTAGTAACAGATCCAAACGCTTTCAAGTAGCCTTTGTTTACGACGGGAATTGTTTGATTAAAATCTTTAATTAACGGCCAGGCGGGCAATCCTGCCGCTGGCGTGCCTTGGCGCTGGACTCCTCTTCACCTAACAGTCACCCCCAACGTCAGGGCCTTGCCCTACAAGAGCGTCATCGATACCTACGTGCCCAAGGAAAAATTTTCTGGCACTCGAGTCGGTGCGTGATTAGAGCTCACTACAATGCCGGCGTACTAAGGATTATGCAATTTTTTTTTGTTTGCACTTGTAATTTAAACCAATCAGATGCACGAATAACTTCAATTTAAATGGACTATGAGACGAATAATGAAAGATTATTCACTTTTGACAACAGTTGAGGGCTGCGGTCCCGTGCCAACTCAGGACCGCATTGTGGGCGGTGAAGAGGCCGTGCCTCACTCCTACCCCTGGATGGTCGGCCTCTTCATCAACATCGCCACCTTCTGCGGCGGCTCCATCATCGACAAGGAATGGATCCTGACGGCTGCTCACTGCTTGGATAAGTACGTGGCTTCCTCCTGATATTATGATGATTTCTTCTAGTGTTACTTCCAACCATAGTTTTACATTCAATACTTGAGCAACTGGAAGATTGCTTTCGCTGTCATAATCATAATTTAGATGGGAAGCAAGATTTGTATTCATATCAATTTCACAATTCTTGTATTTTATTGAAATTGATTACCTTTGCTCTTTAATTCAATATTTTAAAATATTTTCAAATAAGACATTCAGTACACATGAAAAATGTGCACGAGTATCTGAGCATAGTGCATTCATCATTACATACATAAGAAACTCTGATCAATTCTCCATAGAATGAGGAGAGAAGAATAATTCTAAGGTCAAATAGTCCAGAGTTATCGAACACTTACAGCATTAAATAAACAATGTTGAGACGAGACTTCCAATTTTCATTAATTTTTTCAGGCACAAGGACACGATGAATTTGAATTGGTATTTATTTGAGCTTACACGAACAATGTACATTAGTTTTTACATCTTACCTCTATAATGGCGTTCTCTTCTCAGTGCGCGGACTGTTGATGTGGTGGCAGGTGCCCACTACATCCAACAAAACGAGCCCACTCAGGTAACCATAACATCCACGGAATTCTACGTCCACGAAGACTGGGGCAGCATTCTCATCAGAAACGACATTGCGCTCCTCAAGCTGCCAACGCCTCTAACATGGACTCGTGAGAGCACAATTTGAATTATGTGTTTCTGATGTGTTATGAACGGAGATTTGTGCAGCTCCTGTTGGAGATTTGTGCAGCCCCTTTTGGAGATTTGTGCAGCCCCTATTCAAATGCCAACAAATTTAGTTAAGCAACATACATTCATTGTGAATCTCAAGTCCTAAAATTTTCATCAGAAGGATATTCTTCAATTATTATTGTCTACAATTGCTCAGTGGAAGTTGAGCTGTACGTCATTAGTGTTGTTTGATTAAAAATATTTCAGAAGGAAAATAATACTGTGAGCAAGGCGATACATCAGAGACTTTCTTCATTGGTTTCTGACTCAAAATAATAATACGCCATATTGATTTCTTCCCTAAGCTGAAATAGTAAGCCATGTTGTTTTCTTCCCTCAGCTGAAATAGTAAGCCATGTTGTTTTCTTCCCTCAGCTGAAATTGCGCCGGTTTGCTTGCCCTCATACAGCGACGCCGAGCTCGTGGCTGGCGACCTGGTCAACCCCTCGGGCTGGGGTCTTCCCTCTGATGGTGAGGAAATTTTTCAGCCAAACTGTACTGCACTAGAGTACACAGTACCATGCAATTCGGGAGAACAAATTTTACCTCCAAATACTGAAATGTGTAAACTCGTGGAACGACAGTCCGCATAGAACAATTGAATGTGGGGTTAACTAGCCACAAGAATTGAGTATTGCAATATATATAATTTTAAACAATACGTTTCTTCAGACTCGTCATCCATCAGCCCCGTGCTGCGCCAGGTGACCGTGCCAGTCCTGGACAACGATGTCTGCGCGCAGTCCTACCCTGGCTCTGTCACCCCAGACGTTATCTGCATCGACACCACGGGAGGCCATGGAACTTGCAGCGTAAGTTCACCCTTCCTTTATATAATTTATTAGCCTTCATGTAATCCAAAATTTACATGCCAATAACGGTGTAAATAAAATTAAATAAAATGTGTTTCTCCATTAACTTAGAACGAATGAGGTGCAGTTTTTTTGAGAAACAAAATAAATTTCACTCTTCCTTGACATTAATAAGTTTTTTGATTCGTATGAACTCCAGGGTGACTCCGGTGGACCCCTGAACTACGTGAACGGAGGCAAGACCACCACCCGCGGCATCACTTCCTACGGTTCCAGCACCGGTTGTGAAACCGGCTACCCAGATGCCTTCACCCGCGTCACCCACTACCTCAGCTGGATCGCGGAAAAAACTGGCATCGCCATTGACCCATGAGCATTATGGATTTTTAAAAATTGCTGCAGAAATATAATTTATGAATAAAATTACTTTTCCATTCCTAAATATGAATAGAATGTAGAAGCTTCATAGATAAATGAATGGGGAGAGTTGTTCGCACGCAAACGCTCAAAAAAGATCGTAACCAAATTAAAAGAACATTAAAGAACATTACTCCTTCTGAATCCAAAAGTGATAAGCCAACTTTAGAATAACCTAGTTATCTTACCGCCCTAATACTGTAGGATAATAAAAACTAATGAAAGAAAAACGTATGCGTTGAGTGCTACTGGTATGAAAAACATGAACTTGAGCCGATGAAGAAAACGCAGCGAAAAGGACCTACGACATTAAAAATGATATTCATTAAAACCACCCTCAGCCTTAATTTGCCTCACATGAACGCTGCAATTCAAGCGAAGCCGGCGAAGAAGAACTTTATATTGTTAGCTACTGTTTTGTTTGCTCACTAGGGGATAGCTTAGGAAGCTTTTTCTCTTATAGGAAATTACTCTCAATTTGGGGAATATTCTTCGGGGACTTATTGAAATTGAAGCTGAATAGTAATAATATTATATCCCACCCCCAAATTTGAGGACATATTCTGTAAAGAAGAAAGGGCTCATAAAAAATTAGGCCGTATTTATTGGTAGTAATATTTGGAAAACGTTCATATGCAGTTATATAAGAAAAATTACTTATTAGCGAACCATTGGATGATGATATCATTATTTTTAGTATATTCAAGTGCAATAATCCTTTCCTTTAGTCCGCTTGTATTATGAATCATATCCATGATTATCATTTGCTTCACCTTTGTACAAAACTATAGTGCGCATATCTCTCCACGAGTTACGACAGCCAATTCGTGAACGGGAGCTGTTGAAAAACGCAGACGAGTGGATGTTCAATAAGTGAAAATAATCGAATAAATTTTATTCACTAAGCGATAATCCCAAGTTGTGTCCCGGGAGCCGAGGATGGCAGTGGCTACGAGTTGACACACCTCTCGCGCTTATGATCACACATCAGCAGAAAATGAGTGCCCCAGCTGTACAAAAAATATAACTCAGTACTCACTGCAGTGAGTGACAGAGAGCGCATTTTCTCGTTGACGAAAACTTGAGGTCACGGACAGACGGACGGACGGACAGGCAGACAGACAGACGGACATGGCGAGCACAATAGTGCATTTTTTCCTTAAATGAGAAAATGCGCTAAAAACTCGAGATCAACTGTTTGAATCGAAGATGTTTCACAAGCAAACCTGGCTGTCGCATTAAAAGGGATTAATAAGATATAGAGAAACGACGATACTAAGTTAGTGTTGCTGATTACTGCTTAGTTGACATGGATCAGTATTAGCAATAAATAAACAGTACATATTGGGACCAGACTTCCAATTTTAATTACTTCTTTCAGTGATGGTTCTACCCTCCCGTGGAAGGCCACAAGCGAGTCTAGTTTTCCTGAAGGCCTGTCAGTGGGCGCCGTGGCGCCAGTACTTCATGCCGTGCCGACGGGAAGTCCCTCCTGATACTCCTGGTAGGGCTCAAGTCCCGAATGCATCAGCGACAGTACCAGTTTGGTCCACCGTGTCCTCTTCAGCGCCCGAATGTTAGCCCCACCAAACCCCGATCGCTCCGCAGGTCTCTACTAGTTCATAGAGACGAGCCTAAAATACAATAAGTTGGTGTCTGATATCTTGAGGGAGACGAGAAGATAAAGGAGAAGATGAAGATATGGTGTCAGCACCAAGGGAGAAGATGAAGAAATGATAAATCCTGTGTGCTGACTGAGTAAACGTTTGAGTGGAACTGCTTGCTGGGACGCGGAACTGGGGAAGGGAAGTTTTGTTTTTCGAGTCGTTATACAAGAATTAAGAATGGCTCAGCTGCCAAACTGCTGCGTGTGCTCGAAATTATATAAAGGAAAATTAAAGCTTTATTTAATCAAGTAATTCAATCAAAATTATTAAATTGGAAGTCTGGTCAGAAATGGTTTGGGGTGTTAATATCATACATCGCCGAGTTATCAGAACTAAGTGAAGGTATAGGAAGATACCTTCAGTTTTCTACACCTGTGTGGTTCGCCGTGGCCTTTCATTGCCCAAAGTTTAGCCACCGCCAATCTCCGATCGCATCGATATTCTCTAATGGCTTAGAGAGAATATTTTAATGGCTCACAGAAAAGATTTGAATAGGTGAAAAGGAATGATTGGTAGGTTCCATTATGACTAGTAAGCCACGATGTCTCCGATAAGGTTCAAAAGATGACGGTCAACTGAGTGCTTACTTAGAGAATGTTAGCAATGGACTCCTTGCGGAGAGATGGTTAGTAATGGACTCCTTGCGTGTAGATGGTTAGTAATGGACTCCTCGCGTATAGATGGTTAGTAATGGACTCATTGCGTATAGATGGTTAGTAATGGACTCCTTGCGGAGAAATGGTTAGTAATGGACTCCTTGCGGATAGATGGTAAGTAATGGACTCCTCGCGGAGCGATGGTTAGTAATAGACTCTTTTCGGAGAGATGGTTAGTAATGGACTCCTTGCGGAGAAATGGTTAGTAATGGACTCCTCGCGTATAGATGGTAAGTAATGGACTCCTTGCGGAGCGGTGGTTAGTAATAGACTCTTATCGGAAAGATGGTTTGTAATGAACTCCTTGCGGAGAGATGGTTTGTAATGGACTCCTCGCGTATAGATGGTAAGTAATGGACGCCTTGCGGATAGATGGTAAGTAATGGACTCCTTGCGGATAGATGGTAAGTAATGGACTCCTTGCGGATAGATGGTAAGTAATGGACTCCTCGCGTATAGATGGTTAGTAATGGACTCCTTGCGGATAGATGGTTAGTAATGGACTCCTTGCGGATAGATGGTTAGTAATGGACTCCTTGCGGAGAAATGGTTAGTAATGGACTCCTTGCGGAGAAATGGTTAGTAATGGACTCCTTGCGGATAGATGATTAGTAATGGACTCCTTGCGGAGAAATGGTTAGTAATGGACTCCTTGCGGATAGATGGTTAGTAATGGACTCCTTGCGGATAGATGGTAAGTAATGGACTCCTCGCGTATAGATGGCTAGTAATGGATTCCTTGCGGAGAGATGGTTTGTATAATGGACTGGTATTTAGAACACGAGACGGAGAAGGTAGATGGTTATGGAGAAAGTAATGGACTCGGAGAAGGTAGGATTATTGATTCGAGTCATCAAACAACAAAGTCAGAGGGTTAAGCTACGAAACTGCCGCGCGTGCACGTATTACTGAGAACTAATATCAGATTCATTAAATGAATTCAAATTGGAAGTTCAGTTAGAAATACTTAGACTAGAGGAACCCAATGAGATATGAAACTTACAAAGTGAAGGTAGGATACCCTCAGTTTTCTACAGGAGTTCTGAATTAAAAACCCACTTTACACAGTAATTGGCTTTAATTTTTAATAATCGCAACCCATTATTTTCTTATCGCAATTGCATTACTGTCTTCTTCCACATGACAGAGGCTGGCTGTAGCAAGGTCAATAATTGTTATTTCGTGTACCAACTAAGGAGGCTATGATTCAGCTGCAAAAAAGAATTCGAAGTTAGCAAAAAGCCCCACACCGCTCTATTCATTTTTAACCTAAACGTTTCGAAGAGTAAAGTGGGTGTTGGCAATTCTAGGCATGTGTCTGAAATACACTGATGTACATGACGAGCCATTTTTTTATTTTTGTGTAAGATTTAAAATTTGTATGAAGAGGTCATAAATGACTTTGGTACGATATTCACTAGAAAGCCTCTACTTTGATCCCTATTAAATCAACCTAACACGACGTTCAGACCTTAAAGTATGGTGCACTCACTAATACAGTCCTCTGTTTTGTGCATACATAGCAGTACAGGTACGGCGCACCCACTGGTACAGTCCTACACTTGATGCATATTTCGATCTAAATACAGTGATTACGTAATGCATATCACGACACAGATACATCCTTCAAATCATAGAAATGCAGGTACAAATTCCAGCAAGGGTCCTTAAGTAGGCTCGTTTTGAGTCTGAAGTTTGAGCCATGATCGCGAGTTCACTGAGGAAAGGTGGGAAAAATAGTGACAAAATTCGAATCCATTCCCCAGAGTATCAAGTGCACAGATTCTCAATTGACGGATGATATTTTAAATAAAATTTTTAAGATTTAAGATAACTAAAATTTATAGGATGTGGCTTTAATACATCTGGAAAAATGTGGATCTGATGTTTTAAATGATGTTTTTGAAAAAAAGATGCCATGATTAGTATTACAAGCAAATGTTACATACTTGATTTGAGAAGATTTACCTTTCCACGAAACGCAGGGAAATCTTACGAGGATGAGACAGCATTCTCACGAGATGGTAGTTGTACTGCACAAACATGATACTGCTGTCGTGTGAATCAGAAAGATTGTGATGAGTTTTTCCTAAGAATTCCCCGTTGCTTGGGAACAAATCCAAATTTTTCAGCTGTCTCAAGTAAAAACACGGCTATAAATCTAGCCGTATGCTTCATCAAACCAAGTCTTAGGTCTCTCCTTCAAGATGTTCAAGGCGGTCGTCGTTGCTGTGATCTGCTGCACCGCTTATGCTGTATGTATATTATTGAGTTCATGATTCTAATATCTACTATCTATCTAGTATTTATACGATTAGGTAACGGATTTACATTTGGTTAGAAGAATTCTTTCACGTTTGCTATAAAAATTTATTGTTTAATGAAACGAAGACTTTTGTAGTAAAACTAGATTTTTTCGTTGATTTCTGGAACTAAGAAAATTAATTATCACCAAAGAATACTAGAGCAAATGTTCGTTCAGTTTGATTTCGATCCCAAAAAAGACAACACTAGTAGAGACGGATATAAAGGAGATACATAGAGTCTATATATATACTCTCTATCAGTCTATATATAGACGGATAGAGGGGAGATGTACAATATGCGTGTTGCAAGAACTATGTAAAGTATGCACGTTGAATCTGGCAAGAGATACAGTATTTGATAGGCTAGCAGGAAGAATATTGTGAGGCCACAAACAGACAATTAAAACGTAATGGATGATTGTTTTAATAAGTTGAACATCAGTAATTCCTTAAATCGGTTAAAATTATGATTATCGTGAGTTGAAAAGTAAGTTTTTGACCAGGCGGGTAACCCCGCAGCGGGGGTGGAGTGGCGCTGGACCCCACGTCACCTCACCGTCTCCCCCAACGTGCACGCCGTGCCCTACAAGCAGGTCATCGATTCCTACGTCCCCAGAGTGTACACCCCCGGCACCCGACAGGGTACGTTCGATAACCTGTTTGTGAATGAGGCATAGCTACTCAAAGCAGTTGATTTTAAGAAGTAGTTCATCTTTTGCTCGACAGCTTTGCTGGACTCAATGTTTATCCGCGCATTTCCCCCGAAAAGATTGTCATCTGTACGTAAAATTTAGATATTTCAATCACTAACCACAGAAGATTTATCCAATATCCTCGTATACAACTGAATTAACGAATGACTCAGTGTCTTTTCCGCAGTCAAGAACTGGCATTCATGAGCTGAAAGAAGAAGTTTAACTTTTAGACAAAAAATTTTGCCTTTCGACGAGATAGGTGGGGTTTGTAAGATCAAATTATTTGCAATCATTCGAGCTAAAATTTTGCCTCCAGTTGAGGGCTGCGGTCCGGTACCCGCTCAGGACCGCATTGTGGGAGGCGAGGAGGCCGTGCCACACTCCTACCCCTGGATGGTCGCCCTCTTCATCGACGACATTTACTTCTGCGGAGGCTCCATCATTGATGACCAATGGATTCTGACAGCGGCGCACTGCATGGACGGGTGAGGATTTCAACCTAGGAGATGAGGCTGCATGAATAATTACTACACTGTAGTGTTGCTCGGGAATTTCCTTTATCGATATTCGGTTATTTCAGAAAATACCTAAATGAAGTGAGCTATTTATATTTTTAAGTTTTTCATGAGCTGATGTTCGAAGTTTACTGTGAAAATCTTCTCCAATTATCATGCAAGGATAATTTTGAGCCCATTAGAAACCCCAGGATTTAAAACCAAACAATAGTGATAGTACGAGAAAATCGATTCATATATGCACGGACTTTCTAAATAACTTTTTTCAACTTAGATGAAAATAGACAAAAATTCTTAACGGAACCTTCAATAAGAAGAATTGTTTCCTATCATTTAGTGTTCACTCAACAGCGCACGAAGTGTTGATGTTGTCGCCGGTGCCCACAACATCCGGCAAAACGAACCATCTCAGGTGACGCTAACATCCACCGACTTCACGGTCCACGAAGACTGGGGTAGCATCCTTATCAGGAACGACGTTGCCATCATCCACCTGCCTGAGAAGCTAACCTGGTCGGGTGAGTGTTGCTTTGCTTCAAGGTTACGCCGCTCTCAAAAATAGATTTTTGAATACGATCAATAAAATCAAATCGGTGCCCAAACAAGCGACCGACGATCGGCCGCTGATAATCGGACGACTATTACAACATTTCTCTTTAACTTCATTTCTTGTTGTTTGTTTGTTTGTCTGCTACAAATTAAATAATCGATATTTAACACACTTCTACTCGTCCAATCAATCTGAAATTTTGTACACCTGCGTAAAGTCGGAGACAATGCATGCATCACTTGATAGAACGAATAATATTGCAAATTTAAAACTTTTTTTAATATTAAAAAAGTTGTAAATTACTTTGTTTAATATGTAAAAATAAAATAAGAATTTCATTGTACATGTGTAACATTAGAGACAATGGCCTTTTTAGAAGTGTTGTCTTTAAACACATATTTTTAAACTCGTATTATTTTTATTTAATTTGTGTGCTGTGCAGTATGCAGCATGATTCTTAGCTGAAATTGTGTTTGATATTGATTCGGCCGTATCTATATATACTGGTTGAAATTTATGTTTGCATTGGCGCGTCTGCGTACTATTATTTTTCATGCGATAGATTTGTACTAAAACCTGAATTATCCATACACTCACTTTTAATTTATAACGAGTTACCAATCATCTTTGATGTAAAAAGTTTTGAGGACCCATGTCCCTTTTCCTCAGCCGAAATCGCGCCCGTGTGCCTGCCCGCCGCCAGCGCTCCCGAGCTCCAGGCCGGAGTTCTGGTCAACCCCTCTGGCTGGGGACGTCCCTCTGATGGTAAAACATGACGTACAATTTAGATTTAAATTCAAATAAAACGCCGTGTTGGTGGCTACAAACTTTCAAGTTGTATATTTTAATTTGCATGAAACTATTGTTACTGCTTGAACATTTGCTTATTACATACGTATTCATAGATCCTTCCAACTAAAAGATTTATATATAAGGACATTCCAAGGATTTATATATAAGGACATTCCAAGGATTTATATATAAGGACATTCCAATATTCCAAGGTAATATTTCTTTGTTCATAGCTCAAAGCTCCATCAGCGACGTGCTGCGCCAGGTCGTCGTGCCGGTTGAGAGTAACGAAGTCTGTGGTACCTACTACGGGGCCTCAGTGACTCCTGACGTGATCTGCATCGACTCTACAGGAGGCAAGGGAACCTGCAATGTGAGCGTTAAATCTTCAAACTTGGTCATTCTAAACATGAACCAAGTGGATAATACGTTAAATGAACGTGTGAAATTTTATTTCATTGATAACGCAGATTTTACGCCTCTGAATTTATAAAATGCGTATAAATCAATAAATTCACTAAACTCGGGAACTTATCTGAGAAATTACTTTTTTCATTTATAGACGATTATGAAATGAAAGATTCTCTGTCGTATGTGAATATAAGAACTTTTTAAATTCTGAATCTTGTCTAAAGAATTGAAATTGAATCATACCAATATTCCATAAGAAGTATTGAGGCACTGTTCTCGAGGCCCTCTACTTGCATGTCCTAAACTCCAGGGTGACTCCGGCGGACCCCTGAACTACGTCGACGGCGGCAAGACCTACACCCGCGGCATTGTATCCTACGGCTCCAGCACCGGCTGTGAAACCGGCTACCCGGATGCCTTCACCCGCGTCACCCACTACCTAGACTGGATCTCTGAAAAAACTGGCATCGCCATCGACGCATAATCAAGTTCCAGGACCAGACTTGAAATAAATTCTCAGAAAAAATAATGTGGATCAGACTATTTATCCCAATATGAATGCTTTATGAACTCTCATAGGTATATGCTCATAAAACTTATAGTGTTAGTTTAATGTTAGGTAGCCACATTACGACCGCTCATCCGTCGTTACAGAGATTGTGAGGTCAGTGACAGTCCTTACTCACGCAGGGAGCAAGATTGGAAATTAAATAGATTGGATGCCGGGATTTTATTGCAATAGAAATTTGTTACAAGGAGGTCTTAGATGATAAATAATGAGTAATGGGATATTAATGTGAATGATACCTTTGGCAACGTAGGCACCTGTATAAAAGTGAATCTTATAAATAATCTTCATTAAAGGAATAAGTTATATCTAACACCAATTATTCAGATAATTACATAGAAACTGATTTTAACGACCTAGAGTTTTCCTAACTAACTTGCTGGGAGGATCGGCCTGCTGATAATGGGTAAGGACCAAATGCAAATAAGATGTAAAATTCCTAGGTTGTTTCCAAGTTAAAGGGAAAGGGATGATTAATCAGAAAACGAAACTCGTAAATTTTGGCGCACTACAAGATCTCATCGTATGATCGTCGAAACTTGTTTCTTCAAGCGCCTCCTCCGCTCACTTGAGTTCGATGTATGCAGTTTTACGTTTTCTCTGCTTATCAACGCGTGTAAAAGACTAAAACTCAGTATATGTATTGCTTTAATTAACTAAACGGCTTCGCAATCGTTCATCAACGATGAAGATGCGACTTCAGACAAAAATCGTAGCTGCATGAGCACATATTCTTTCTTTTCTTCCCTCAGGGCTCTCACCATAATGTGCGAACCGATTATCCTAAAACGAGGTTTCACCGAAGTTTTTGTATCGCAAATAAGGCATTTTTTATTCGATGCGCGGATTATTTATCAGAGGTAGTCTTCGGTCGCCCAGTTTCTGATACAGTTCCGTAGGCGCCAAGTTTTGTTTCAGATATATTATTCTCATTTACAGATTCTCTGAGCTGCTGTAGTGTTACTTGAACTGTTAGTACCTCCATCGTTTAGCTCCAGCGACGACGCTTTTACAAAGTTTCACGAATCGTGAGGCGGGGCCAGAACTTTATTTTCCTCCTCAGTTCGTACGTCTCGATTTCTCTGTCGAATACTAAGCGGATGCTGGGCCCAATTCTGTTGATAGTTGTTAGCTGTTGCTTTGGCAAGTAAGTAATGGAAATATGTGAAAGTCAATACCAACTGAGCTGCCGTATGCTTTACTGAAACAACACAATACTATATATGCTATACCTTCACTTCTTCGACCTTGCTGCCCTCTTCCTCTCCTTACAAACATCGATGAATACTGAGCGTGTCGCGCAGCAGCTTACCGTTACCGACTGTGACTCTGAATGCTCGTTCAGGTCATCACGCTCAAAATCCTATCTCCTTTTGCCACGAGCACAAGGCTTGGGTGCAGACGTGCACTGTCGTGCAGACCTTTTCTTTCACACGATACCAGGAGATAGATCCATGTTTAGTGGAGAAACCAATTTTAAGTTGGAAATGCCTATTTATCCTTACAGAGCCATAAACATCAGATGATTCTAAGTTATATTATAAATTTCGTTGCTTGAATCGCAATCAATTTTCTGATTGATTCCATTAAATCTGATCCACGAAGCAACCAAATTTTTTAGGATTATAAGTGAAATATAGTAGAATTTTTTTGCCGGCATGCAGCCAGACGCCCGCAACACACTTCATGTTTACTATATGCACGAAAGGATAGGTCCCTTGTATGGGAATATGTCATTGAATTGTGTCTATCTTTAGTGATTGTTTCGGCGAAGAGATTTTCAATTTGTTTTTTAGGCGTGCGATGAATCAAAGATATGCAAGCCCAGTCCTTGAAAACATTAACTAAATTTTTAACTCGAGCAGAGTCCAGAGACTAGTCAACGGTTTTAGAAATACTCGAAATCATTGAAATTTAACTTTATTGAAATCATTGAAACAGTTACTTTATCATACTTTTTTATCATTACAAATTGTCTGAATTGCGGTTGTAATTAGTTTTTCGTTAACTATGCAAAAATAAAATGTATTATGAGTAATTAAGAGCCACTGAAATATGTTATAGCGGCATCAGTTTTAATTGATCCTTGTTGGTTTGTCGCCAATTTTTTTCCATCCTGTCATCTGGTCAATTTGCATAGGAATTTTTCCGCGTACGTAGTTGGGGGTTTAGAACCCTCCAACTTGCTGTTCCAATCTTGGTAATCTTGACTACGCAGTAAGGCCGGGCTTATATGCGAACTATCTCGTCTCCTTTTGTCATAACTCAAGAAAATGCCAGCTGATTAATAAACAGTATTGTAATGAACTTACTGTGCAAATTTAAGCATGAAAAATATACAAGTATTGAAATTTGATATATTCAAAAATAATAATCTATTTTCATTCCAAAGTCAACTGAAACTATTTGAGCAATCAGTGATGATGGAGATATGGTTTATAGCAAGGAAACTATATAGACGTACCAGAATAATGGATGGTAGAGGAATGGTTAGTCAGTGTTGACAGGGTGTAATGAAACGCAAATGTGCCGCCTACTTAATTTTAAGCCCGTTATTATTTAGAACCTACTTAATTTTAAGCCATAATAATTTTGAGCCCATTTTTTCTCTGTAATTATCTGGGGATAAAAAAAATCTCCCATAGGTGGGGTAACAGCCACCAGTATTTAGGGTACATATTTTTTAAAACTGCAAGGAACCAGAAAACAGGAGTCAATTCTAAAAGCTACATTTCCTTTCTATTATTTCAGAATTCACAAACAAAGATAGTTTCAGAAAATGAACAAAGCAATGAACACATAATTGCTTCATTTTAAAAACTTACGTCAATGTTGCTTCGGGCTAGTTCTGCGTCAACTATTCTATTTGCAAGAACGCACGACAAGGCATATAAGGATGTTGCCACTAGCAGGGACATAAGATTTTCTCTGCATAAATAACCTCGTGTTTCACACGAGACAGCAGCAATTAAAGGGTGTATTTGATTCGAATGGTGCATTGTCTAGAAAGTTCTAGGTTCCCGTTTGATCATGAACCCATTATGAAGCGGAATATTGGAAATGAATCTGAATTGCTATAAAAAATTGAAAATTGTAAACTTGAATTGAGGACATGAGAATGCTCAACATTGATTGAGAATAACATTACATGACTGAATAACTGTTTTGAGAATATTAAACATAGCGGATATTACTGCACGTTTCAACATGTATTTGTATTTTTTATTCTTCAAATGGTTATTTTGCAACAAATTTTACTACTTTTGGTATTAACTTCTTAGTGCTTAGGGAGCGCAGCCGCGCAGGTGAAGTCTCACGGCGCCACCTCAGGTGAGACGCACGCTGGAAGTCTCACTCTATAGTCTATAGAATTGGAGTGGAAATGGAGAATTGAATTATAATAGAGTAGATGAGTTGTTGGTCACGAAAGTTCTGGGTCGGGCTCTGTGTTAACCACGCTTGAATCTGAGAATTTATTGTACTAGGCCGAATCATGTAATTAAGTATTCCATCTATTCAGTAATGATCTCTCCATATAACACATAAATTTTCTGCATGAAAAATAAACGAGAACGTAATTGAAATTCGTACCAGTCGTTTGTTTTTAGAAATCTTTATCTGAAAATTGTAAAATAAGCGATGTAAACGGAATTTAAAAAAATCAAACACATACTGTACGTATGAACAAATTTCGAAATAGAAAGAGCAATATTTCCAAGTTCCATTCAAATACATGCGCTGAAGCAAAAGGTATTGGACAAATTAACGTCGCTTGTAATTTGTAGCCTTAAATACTATTTACTATTACTATTTTTGTAATGATCTTTCGTGCTGGGGTTAAATAATGATCTCGAGTTAACACAATTAATTTAATATTAATGAAAAGTGAACACTTAGATTAAGAAATCGAACAAGTTAACGCGAACATGGGTATCGTAATATGGTACAGAACTCTCTTCTTTCATATGCTAGGGCACAGCATAGTAGAGGTTTCTCACATCACAGTAACAATTTATATATGCACAACACTGAGTCTTCTTGATAGCCTCTTGTGATCTTCTATCCGGGTTGACTTCTCCCTACATGAACAAAATCGAAGTTACAATTAGTCGGGTAATTCCCTACCAGATATCTCACATAATATCAACACACCAATTAAATACAATATTGATAAATATCGACAGTTACACATACCTCTGCAGTTGTCTGAATTCACTAAACTAGTCCTTGCTTTGGTCCCACAACAAGTCAGCTCTGAATTCTTACACTGCTACGGGATAGTCAACCTTAACTTATTCTACGTCCCACACATTAGTTACTATTATTCTTATTCTCCCTCTGTTTCCGAAAGTACACCTGAATATTCAGCTAAGATCCCTACAATTTTCCTTGTTCAATTTCTTATTATAAATATGTTCTTGTCGTATCACTAGAGGGCTTGATTGTCACGCACCCAAAGGAAATAGAGAGGCCGTGCCAGCATTGCCCACAGATAAGCTGGCAAGTCAGGCAGCTGGTGATAGCGATAGTTGTCGGGGCGTGTGAAGGAGAATGCCAGAAATAAATTCGTTCCCATGAGGGATGTCTTCCATATTATCATGCATGATGTTGTCATATGACTCAATTGAAGCCAATATTATATAAGACTCAGTGCCATATCAGTATAGCAACTTGCTTATTGGCTCTCAACTTGAAGATGTTCATCAGGTCGGTCGTCGTTGCTTTCGCTTGCTGCGCAGCAGTGGCCGTAAGTGTGTTATGTTTTACGTTATTCAATTTATAATTTACGCTAAATGGCTGAATATTAATAGCTTTAATGCTTGCAGCAGCATTGGCTTTGCTTCAGGCTGAAGTATAACAATTTACGCATAAGCCTTAAATCAAGTATTTAAAAGATGCTATCAGTTCATATCGAACGAAATTATCGCAAATGGGTAACACGATCGGTATAGAAAGTAACTTTAATCTCTCACCAGGCGGGCAACCCCGCAGCGGGGGTGGAGTGGCGCTGGACCCCACGTCACCTCACCGTCTCCCCCAACGTGCACGCTGCGCCCTACAAGCAGGTCATCGAGTCCTACGTCCCCAGAGGGTACACCCCCGGCACCCGACAGGGTACGTTTGTTGATGTGATACGGCAATAAGAAGGCTTTACTTTTGATCAGTTTGAGCTGCTCTAGATAAGAACCATTCAACATTTGCATTATATTCAGCCAAATTATAAAGAGTCTTAATCAATATTATGAAACCTAATAATTATTAAGAGTCCAACGCCCCAAGAGAGTAGACCCCCGGCACCCGACAGGGTACGTTCATTAACCGGTTTGTGAATAAGGCACAAATGCTAAAAAAAAGTTAATATTTTAAGCGTTGCTTGACTTATTGTCTATCTGTGTCTTTCCCTGGAAAATATTGTCACTTCTGCGTAAAATTACGATATTTCAATCACGAACTCCCTAAGATTACTAATATCATTAATTCTCCTCACATGCAACGGAACTTGTGAATGAACGTCGTCCCTGTGTGACTTGTGACTTTTCATTGGTCAAGAACTGTAATTAATTCTGCATGCCAAAGAAAAATGGCTAAAATAAAAAACTTTGAGGAACAAAATTTTGCGATTTAACGAGCAAGGCGGAAGCAGCAGGAATAAAATTATAAATTGGTCTGAAATTCCCCTGCAGTTGCGGGCTGCGGCCCCGTACCCGCTCAGGACCGCATTGTGGGAGGCGAGGAGGCCGTGCCACACTCCTACCCCTGGATGGTCGCCCTCTTCATCGACGACATGTACTTCTGCGGCGGCTCCATCATTGATGACCAATGGATTCTGACAGCGGCGCACTGCATGGACGGGTAAGGATATAAAAAATGATACTCAAGTAATTGTGTGGTATAGTATATTCTAAAACTAAAATGACTGTGCATTACTTATTGCTCTAGTTATACTCTTGATTAGAGAAGCCCGCGTTAACTTCCAAATGCTAACATTGCTGTTCGGTACAGCACTATCGCCTGTTAATTACGTTCTTGCCGCAGTTACCGTTCTTGCCGCAGTTATTGCCAGCGTCGCCTGTAACATCCATGAATATTTCCAGCTAATGTTTTCCCCACAGTGAAAAATTACAATACTTGGGTATTTATCTTTGGTATCATCTAGCCGCCAACGAATATCCAAGTACTAGGTCTATAACTAAATTACCAAGTTAAGTAACTAGTTTGAGATTTCTACATACTTTCATTTGTTCTGGTAAGCAACTGTAATGGTACCCACACAGTGAAAGCAAGTTACCTGCTGAGGCTGGCACCTGAAATTGAAATAAATAGGCCTGGCACTGGCCTATTCGTACAGGTTTTCACTGTTAACACTTACATTATTATCCTATGTTCATTCTTGTGGCAGGTTGGAGCAGGTTGCCCGTGCGGGCAAACCTGCCTTTACTGTGTGGGTACCCTAAGGCGAGGAGAAATTATCTCTATGTCTCATTGCAAATGTCTTAACAGAGCTGCCAGTGTTGAGGTGGTCGCAGGAGCCCACAATGTCCGACAGAACGAGCCCACACAGTTGACCTTCACGTCCACCGACTTCACTATCCATGAACATTATAACGATGCATTGATCAGGGACGACATTGCCGTTATCCACCTACCCGAGCCGCTGGTTTGGTCAAGTAAGAATTTTTTCGGTTGTGTTACCGCACTAATAATGTACGCTCACCTACATTCGGTCGACTATGGTACGTCACAATATAATGGGTCACGAATTGGCTAACGCTATTTTTTCAGTCGAATTGATACCTAACGTTATATTTTCAATCGAATTTATAGTTGTGCAAAATATTATTATACTGGTTTAGTTCCTGCTCGCAATAGAGTTATAAATTGTTTAATTTGAAGTGGCATTCGCGCTGTTGTGCTTATTGCCCATTGATATGGGGGTCAATGGAATTTCCGATTGGTAAACGAAAGCCCCCAATTTGCCTTCTTCGTCGCAGTTTTCAATTTGGTATATATTTTTTTTGAGTCTGATTATAATTACGAATCCTCTTTTAATTAATTTTTCAATTTGAACATAACTGCGCAGAGCAGATTTCGTGCATGTACTGAACTTGAAGCTGTTCAAACGGATTCTATCATATGTAAGTTTAAAAGATGCATCTATAAAATTATAAAAAACATATTTGAAGCTAAGTTTTAGTATAGTTGGAATATCATTTATTTTTATTAAGTATTATCGTTATTTTGGTGCTTAGGTTATATTGCCCCCGTGTGCCTGCCCGCCGCCAGCGCCCCGGAGCTCCAGGACGGAGTTCTGGTCAACCCCTCTGGCTGGGGACGTCCCTCTGATAGTGAGATCTGAACCGAGATTGTGAAAAAAATGCGTATTAAACGTGCGCCCTAGGCTGCTTGATATAAACGATCATTATACTTTGAACCTATTAACACTATCTACATACATGTTTGAAAACCATATATGATATTAAATCAAAACTACAAAATGGTTGTGAAGATGTACGCCGATGGATCAGAAATGTTATTAGAGTGACGATCAAAATACAAAAATTTCAACAGCTCAAAGCACGATCAGCGACGTGTTGCGCCAGGTCGTCGTGCCGGTTCTGAGCAACGATGTGTGCGCGGACACTTACGGAGGAGCATCGGTGACTCCAAACGTTATCTGCATCGACTCGACGGGAGGCAAGGGAACCTGTATGGTGAGCACTAATTCTTCAAAACTGATTATTCCAAACAAGAGATCATCGTTCGTTAGATGATTGGGTCACATGTTCAGTGAATGATCAAATTTCAAGTCGTTTATTTTGGGAATTTTATAAATAATTGTCAAAGTTTGTGTTTTGTGCGCGCTTAAAACTTGAAGCCGTAAACACAGAGTGGCTGTACAGGTGCGTACATACGATTCTCTTGAATCGATATAATGCCTGAAGCTTTAAATTTATTCTTGGTGAATGTAGAAAGATATTAAAAAATGGGCGGGAAGAAGTTAATAGAAATTTAAATTTAATTTTAGATTGGTATTTCTTAATTTAATTTGCAAGGTTCGAGATGGTTCTTTCATATTATGAAAAGAGATTTAATGGGAGTTTTTTGGACCATGTAAATGTTGGGTTTGAATAAGTAATTTTTAAATTAACATCCATAGGTTTCATTACAATAAACAGGATTATGGGCTACAGGAACAACGAGGTCCTAAAATGTAAGAATTATCGAGCTCGGGCTAGCAAACCTGCTGACCTGCTGGTTCCAAATAAATCATCAAATTCGCAGAATTATATATTTGAAAAATAATAATTTTTTATAATTTACAAAAGATTAATAAAAGAAAGATTCTTTACCGGATATGATTGATAGATATTTTTTAATTTTCAATCTTGTCTAGTGTTTTGCATTGAAATTTAACTCTTGAATCATATCAATATTCTATCGAAGTATATATATTGAGGCACTGTTCTCGAGACTCTCAACTTGCATGTCCTAAACTCCAGGGTGACTCCGGTGGACCCATGAACTATGTGGACGGAGGCAAGACCTACACCCGCGGCATTGTATCCTACGGCTCCAGCACCGGTTGTGAAACCGGCTACCCGGATGTCTTCACCCGCGTCACCCACTACCTAGACTGGATCTCGGAAAAAACTGGCATCGCCATTGATTCTTGAATTACATTTTTTATTTTCAGGAATTGAATCAAAATACATTTATAAAAACCTATAGAAATGATCTTTTCTTAGCCTTTTACTGAGTGACTCCCACGATACAAAGGGAGCTTCATGTTCCTGAAGTGTTAATTGACAATTTCTTCAGTTAATGGTTGAGATCACTTTAATATCGCAAATTCAATCGATCTGTTGCTTTGTCATTGCATTGACATTTTAAGAATAATATGTGATGGTCACATTTTATGTAACTTTATGTATCCATGTTTAGATTTCATCATTATTTGAGTGATTGACTTGTGCAAGCCAAAACTCATACTGTTTTGGCTTCATACTGTTGTTGTAGACAACAGTATGAAGCGTTCATACTATTGATGTAGATCATGAAACGTTCATACTGTTGTAGATTATGAAACGCGAAATCATTTTTTAAAGAGTAGTACGCAAATAAAAATCAACACCCATGGGTTACTAGTGAGCCAAGCGTATTATCCACACAGGCATCTCTCAGTGCTCCGTTCTGTCACCTGCCCTCTTCAATTACTATATATCCAAAGCACCTCAAAAAACCTCAAAACGCAGCAACGTACTGAAAGCCCTCTTAGGCACTTCCTATGGACAATTTAAGAAAACTCGACTACATACATAAAAACCCATCGGCCGCCCAATAATTGACTACGCCAGCCCAACCTAATCTCCTGCCACTTCTTCCGCCAAAACCACCCGTCTCCAAACAATTCAAAACTCTGAGAACCATAACCGGTTGCCTCAATACAACCGCCGAACAATATCTCCACTCCGAATATTAAATGCTCACCGTTAGGAAACACACAGACCGCCTCTCTGCCTTGCCTCAGCCCATTACATGGCTGCCAACAAAGTACAAGATCGCTCCACCAACATCGCAAAACAAGAGACACTCTTACACTCAATACAACAATGCTGTTTAGCCAGTCAAGAATCAATCAAGATTAACAGTGCAACCCTTATAACAGCCAGGAACACCCTCCACTAGAACGCTGCCCGAGCTACGTGGTCGCCGTGTACCGCGTACCGGTACTGCTCAACGGTTGGCCTCCTCCACTCCCAAAAATAGAAAAATCTCAACAATCATTACCAAGATCTGCAAGACGGACGCTGGCTCAACTTTGCTCCGGTCACTGCATACTTCTGAACTGCTACATAAGCGTAATCAACAACATCAGCAACTTTTACAGTTATTTTCATATCTCACCGGATTACGGGCCTAACTTTTTCGACTGCCCCAACACCCCATAACACCTTGGACCTTTGAAGGGCCCCGCTGCGGTTGTTCGTTGGCTCTAGCCTCGGCCGGACCAGTGACGTCGGGATCGGGCGCTGGGCAACAACTACAATAACATCAAACACGAATGTATCGACGTCTCACAACAGCAACAGTGGAAAGATCCTAGAACAACGGCAAACACCTTCGTTTGAGCGAACCGTCAGAGTACACACTGTAGAGGAAATAAATTTAATTTATTGCTATGTATATAATTTTTGAGTTGCAATGTTTTCAATCACCTTAGCCGTGACCTCCAACAGTATTTAGTCAATCATTGTGTCTAGTGTTCTTGCCGTGGAGGTACGTTAATTGATTGCTATGTGATCCACCACGGAGCAGGGCTCTGAACCTAGGACATTCTTATGAGTTGAAAGTGAGAGGCTTGCAAGACAAACAATTTATAGGTTTATATCCGTTTGAAAATGGCAAGTGGTCATGGCAGAGACTGTTCTGCGCCTTTTCGAAACGAAGAGTTTGATTTTGTCCAGGAAAATATAGATCATTTTACATGGTTTTTCTCGAGACTCGTGCTGAGGGAGGGTTCTTTGCCAAGCAAATGCTAAGACACGTTACGCCAGTTCAAAAGGACATGGGTGCCGTATTTCCAGATTAACAGCGAAGTAACTCTAAAGGAAAATATCGATTGCGGGCGACGCAAGATAATCCGTGACACCGCAATCAAGTAAGAGTCATCAAACGTCAGAATCCCACAGTTTTCGTCAGCACGATAATTCTCGTCTTCGACCTCACTGTTCGAAAGCCCAGGCCAAGTCAAAAGACCCTCGGGGAAGAAAAGGCGACCGTGCAGTGCGTGATGGCCGGTGCTCCAAATCTGATGACGATGTTTGTGAATACTGTCTACGCGCCGGTCACGCACGTCGTGAATGCCGTACCCGGTTGAAGCAGTATTTCATTTGTGGCTCAGGTTTGCACTTTCTTCGGAAATGCTCACGTTACAGACGTGCTCGTGTTGGTAAGTTGGCCGATCGAAGAGCGTCACAGCCAGAATATTATTGTAAGTTTCGTGAATCTTTAGATCGTTCAGCTGTTAACTCGGCAGTTTACATAAATAGAGATGATTTGATTACCAAAGGCGTGTCAGCAAGTAATGTCGAGGGCTTTTCGTCCGTAACAAGTGATGATGGGTGCGCTGATGTGGTCTATGGTGTAAGGCCCCATTCACACAGGGCAGTAAATACCGCCAGCATCCGACGGTATTTGCCGTCGGACTTTAGCGGACATAAGAAATGCACACTGCTGTTCACACACGACGGCTTTTAAACACGGCGTAGAATTTGACGCCTGACGCCCACGTGTTTCCTGATAAAACTGCGGCGGTAGATTTGCCGCGACGTTGAGCTAGCAATGGTATTCAATGTAATCTTTCACACTGGGCGGTTTTTCACGCCGACACCACTACCTATTGCGGTACAGACAGTGGGTCGGCGAGGGTGTATGCAGCTCCAGTTACTAAAAGAGGTAAGGATAATGAAACTCATTCTTCTTGTTAATGAATGTAATGAGTAGTGAATTAATTTTGTAATGACAAGTTTGTAAACGATGTTAGGGATAGCCTTTCAATGTAATAATTTCATAGATAGTTAGGCTACGGTTTTGTCATTTTGCTTTTTGAGTGAACTATTAAGTCACCTCTTGTAGATCCGTCATGTAACTTGTCATTGCTATGTGATCCACCACAGAGCGAGCCTCCGAACATAGGACGTGATTAGGAATTATTAGGCAAGGGCTAGAAAGACGCACGGTTTATAGTTTTGTAATTTTTATTCTTGTCTTTATCGTTCATTTATTAGTATAGTTCTTTATTTATCAGTTTTTATTCATCCTTTTTATTTGCGCTCATTGGCCAAGTGTTCGGGGTCAGATGATGTTTATTTATTGATTAGTCCCCAACAACGCTGCCTTCCAAACAGTGTGGCAAATTCACCTTCTTGCGGCCTTAAATTCACTATATTGTGAATCCAGCACCGCCTTCTTTTCTTCCTTTGCTGTCTTTTATACAGCATGTATAAAAGGAGAGCCTTCTTTCCTTTCATCTGAGAAGCCATTAATACACAGTCAGGACCACTTGCGGAGAAGAGCACTGGAAGACAAAGATACTAGCGTTAAAAACCGCCCCGTACGAAAGATTACGCGGTAAATACTGCCGCGGCATTTTTGACGCGCGCGGTATTTGTCGCAATGTGTGAAAGCTGCAACTGTAAGCGCCGCTTTTGTGGTTCCGCAAGTGTTGTGATAAACGATGAATATGTTCCCGGGCGCATGAGTGATCGTAGTTTAGTTCAAGAGTTTTACGACTTGAAAGCTAAATATAGTCTTAACGTTACTGCTCTTTCTAATGAAATTTTCTAATAATATACTTCGCACGGCATTAAAAATTATGACGAGAGTTTATGATTTTCAATTTGAGCAACAGGACCGTATTTTATTTTGAAAATGTACATGGTTTTCGGCAAGACGTTTAGAAAAGCTATAGTTCCTTGATCGATGATTAGAGCTGCAAACAAAATTATTCGTGGTTGCTGGAAAAAGTGTGTAATTTGAAATTAAACTATAATAGAAAAATTTCAGTAACCAATTTATATATTAAAATTTATGAAGTTAATTATTATTATCTGCATGATGACATTTCACGAGTAAAACTCGTTATACAAATTGAATATTGCAACCCAATCATATGCAATTATACTAATGTATGAAAATTAAATTATTACGCATAGTTATATACATCCATTAAATAAAATGCCTCATTGCAGCATTCTTAGAATTTACCGATCTCTGTTCTAATCTGCAACAGTTTATCTATGGAGGAAAAATCGATAAATATTCTGCGTGTTTGTTGGGAATGGAAGGCTCCTACAAAAAAATTTATGTATGGTGAGTATTAGTCTGTATAAGCGGGTTTGATATGCCGGTGATTCGAGCAGCTGGTGAACTTGATAATTGTCAAGAGCGTGCAAATCAGGATGACTAAAATAGTCTTATCTAAGAATGATCAGTTATATGGGAACTACGGAACAATTGAGGGCCTGTTCGATACCTCGAGTGAAAAGCTTCGTCTATATAAATGATCGACGGCTGATCTGTAAGAAATTGAGTATTAGATTTCAACATGAAAATGTTCATCAAGACAGCCGTCGTTGCCGCTGTGTTCTTCGCAGCCAAAGCTGTACGTTTTTCAGTTAATGGTCTGCGCAAAACTATTAATTAATTAACCTGGTATTTAATCTTTTATTCTTAATTTCTTTATCGGTACGATGACAAACATTCAGTAAATTTTGTTAATTGTCCCGCGTGTGAAATAAACGTTAAATGCTTCACTATATTGGGGCGAATGGTAAAGAGGTGGAGGTTGCTCAGGTAGAAGAATTAGAGGGTTGCTTCCTCGTCCGGTGTGTGATCGTCAGAACGGACTGCGTCGTGTAGTTTACTCGCTTCATGTATCTCTCCGTGATTGTCTCTCATATTGATTTTTTGTCCATGCTTGTACACACGCTACGGTTGTATAGAGCTTAGATCAATGTCAGAAGTAATGTTAATTTTTGACCAGGCGGGCAACCCCGCGGCGGGTGCGGAGTGGCGCTGGACCCCACGTCACCTCACCGTCTCCCCCAACGTGCACGCCGCGCCCTACAAGCAGGTCATCGAGTCCTACGTCCCCAGAGTCTACACCCCCGGCACCAGACTGGGTACGTTTGTTGATGTGATACTGCAATAAGAAGGCTTCAGTTGTGCTAAGTTTAAGCTGCTCTAGATAAGAACCATTCAACATGTACCTTATATTCAGCCAAATTATAAAGAGTCTTAATCATTATTATGAAACCTAATAATTATTATTAAGAGTCCAACGCCCCAAGAGAGTACATCCCCGGTACCAGACTTTGTATGTGCATCGTTGTGTTCTAAATGAAGCATGATTGGGCTCGATAAATTCAATATAGCTCATCTCCTAAACAAGTAAACTTTTCGGAAATGTGAAATAATTCTTCGATGGTATATAATTCTGCATGAATTGGTTGTTTCGAAAACTTCAATACTTTCGTAGAGCGTCATTAGAACATGCCGTACTCGTACCTTATTTGTATATGCCGAAACTAGTTCTATCCTTCCACTGTTTAAATTCTATTTTAGTTCCTTCTAGTTTATCTTTAACAATGACCGCAGAATCAGTGAATTCAATGAAGTAACTATTACTGAAGGTTATCATGAAAAGAAGTATTGAATTCATGTATTATTATTCCAGCGAGTCTTATGTTTGAGTAGGCTGTTGCAACGATAGGGAAGTAATTAATCATCGGCATCATTTAATCTAACATGTCTTCGCCAGTTTCTGGCTGCGGTGTCGTTCCTTTCAAAGACCGCATCTCGGGAGGCCAGGAGGCATGGCCGCACTCCTACCCCTGGATGGTCGCCCTCTTCATCGACGACGCTTACTTCTGCGGCGGCTCCATCATTGATGACCAATGGATTCTGACAGCTGCGCACTGCATGGACGGGTGAGGATATCAACAAAAAACATTTAGTTATTATTTAAAAGAAGACTTTAATAATTATTCTAGAGATATGACATATTTTTTTCTAGAATTTTTTGTAAAAGAATTTTCAACATTCATGACTTTCGGGTGGATGCGTCTAAAATTAGATAACAGATGATTAGATTTCAGCTGTAATTTATGCAAAATTTTACTGAGACGAAATTAAAAATCAATATGGAAAAAATCAGTAAATACAATCAGGAAAATACAATAAATTCGTATTTATTCAGGTATAAATTCAAATGAATAATTTATACACCAATGGAAATAAAAAATCAAATTTTTAACCAATTGAAACGCGAATTGGGCGGTGGCGGTAGTTGCAGAAAAGGCCGTTAGAGTTCTCTACCAGCAACTCTGTTTACGTCCCGCCTCTACCAGCAACTCTGTTTACATCCCGCCTCTACCAGCAACTCTGTTTATGTCCCGACTCTACCAGCAACTCTGTTTACGTCCCGCCTCTGCCAGCAACTTACCAGCAACTCTGTTTACGTCCCGCCTCTACCAGCAACTCTGTTTACGACCCGCCTCTACCAGCAACTCTGTTTACGTCTCGCCTCTGTCAGCAACTCTGTTTACGTCCCGCCTCACCAGCAACTCTGTTTACGTCCCGCCTCTACCAGCAACTCTGTTTACGTCCCGCCTCTACCAGCAACTCTGTTTACGTCCCGCCTCTACCAGCAACTCTGTTTACGTCACGCTTCTACCAGCAATTAACTCCGTAACAGAAGATATGCTTTCTCGTGTGTGGGACGAGTTGGCTACCGTTTAGATGTTTGCCGTGCAGCACAAGGAAAACATAGTAAACATTAATAAATATGTAAAAAATTGAATCTTTCTCGTTCCTTTGGTTCATAAATTATTCATATTGAATTCATACCTAAATAAATACGAATTTATTATATTGGGTGTCCATCATCTAGAATTAACTTGTATTATGTTTTGAGGCAAAGATGTTAAAATTATGAAAGAAAAACGTAATTTCCACACATTGAAAATTTTTGATTTTTTCCTCACTTCTTAACAATATCTGCTTTAGTAATATGAAATCATTTCAGGCGAAACGCATCCGTGTCTAAATCATGGTTGGTTGCTAAAATACTTCATAAGAATGTTCTTCTCTGAAATACTTCATATGAATGATATTTGATAGGCAATCATCACAATTTATGTCGCATATTGGTCAGCTATTGGCATGCCGAAGGAAAGATTCAATATTAACATTGAATAATGGAACACTCATCTTTGAAACTGAGATTTAGCTTAGAAGTCCATAGATGTGATGTTGCCAGTGCTTCTTCAGGCGTCAACATTTATTATTTATATAACGCGATATTAATTTAAAATTTCGAGTTCAATGCATTTTTGAAATATTCGACCAAATTTTTTACTGTAGGTATATAGAAGCTTGTAGTTGAGGGAAACAATCTCTAGAATAATTGTTCTAATGTTCCTGCCTTAACAGTGCTAGGAAAGTAGTGGTGGTCGCCGGTGCTCACAATCTCCAGCAGAACGAGCCTTCCCAAGTGTCCATGACTTCCATGAATTTCATAATCCACGAAAATTATGGCAGCATATTAGTCAGGAACGACATCGCTGTCATCCGCCTACCCGAGCCTCTCGTCTGGTCTGGTGAGATTAGCGTCGGCTGATATACTGCAGTCACTCCTCTAAGAAAATTTAGAGTCGTCCCCAGCTTCTGGTACTCAGAAGCTGACGTGTCCGTAAATTTAGAGTCGCCCCAGGTTCTTGTAATCTAAATCAGAAGCGTCCGCGTCTGTAAATTTTTATTGGGTCTGGGCACCGTTGAGTGCGACACGACCGACCGGTGGGTTGCAGGGCCTTTTTCCGGACAAATTCTGCGATTTAGTTTTTTATTGCGTTTGTCGGCAAAAAATTGTGATGGCAGTACTACCTTGTTAAATTTTAGTCCGGAAAAAATGAAAATTTAAATTTTGCACCGGAACCTACAAATTTACAAGTATTTTTTGAATTATTGGCCTTTTTCGCTTATTAATTAGACATTTTTTAGGCCATCTGGCAGCATAGGTGGGTCTTACCGCACTCAACGTAATAATTTAGTTTGGAATCACCAGAGGCCAATTACTCAAACTATATTTAAAAAATTATTTTTTTTTTCTTTTTCTTATCAAGGTTAATGAGCAGGAGGTAAAAAATGTACGTCGTATTGTATCGTACAATCGAGTCTCTGTCTAACAGGACGCAACAACGTGCGTCGTGGAGAGACGCATGTGAGGGACGTTCGTTCGCTTACTACATTGCTTCAAAAATTCGATTTAATACGATTCTTTTAATATATGACATGTCTATTTACGCGAAATTTCATTGTCAAAAAAGATAACATAAGTAAAAAAATTTTTAACAGCAGATTCACTTGCCGTTCATTGTTTGAGCTGGTAGTATAAGTTTACGATGAAATATTAATTATCTTTTTTAATTGTCTCTCAACTTTAACAGCCTTATTAAACCCAGATCTCCAACGTGGGCAATGAGACTGCATGTCAATGGTTCAATATTATTGTATAAGAAAACTGTACCAGTACATACATACCTTATATTGGTGTCAAAAAAAGTAAGTTTTAGCATTTCTATGCATTATGTAGTTATCATGTAGACTCGAAATCTACCTCATTTTCCAGATTATATCGCACCAGTGTGCTTGCCCTCTTTGAGCGCTCCCGAGCTTGTAGCTGGAACTGAAGTCATCGTTACTGGCTGGGGCAGCATTTCTGACGGTGAGACTCTAACAAATTGAAAAATGAGTACATTATGTATTTCTTTTGTCAATCAGATGCTGCAGAATTTATTTTGAAGTCAATATCTCTGCTATTATGACCTGCAACAGAACATTTCGAAGACGACATCAGAATGGCGTGAAAAATGTTAGTATATCAGTCAAAGGGGGTGCTGATTATCGGTACACTGATGTTTCGAATCTAAATTCACCAGGTCAAAGCTCCACCAGCAACGTGCTGCTCCAGGTCGTTTTGCAGGTCCTGGACAACGCGGTCTGCCGCGACAATTATGGTCTCTTCGTGACTTCGAACGTCATCTGTACCGACTCGACCGGCGACAAAGGACCTTGCGATGTTAGTTTCAAATTCAAACTTTTCGTAAAAACTCAGATATAGCGTGGCTTGCGGAGCACTCAAAGAACGGGTCTCTAATTCACATATCCAACGTACTTATTTAGTTATGCTCGAATGGCGATGATGCTGGAATAAAAATTTTGTAAGTTACTATATTCTATTTCAACATTACAAGCAGGGTAATAAATTGAGACTCTAGATATATGATACAGATACGATCACGGTACTTTTCTCATGACCGCCTAAATCCATTCCCTTTATTCCAGGGTGACTCCGGTGGACCAATGAACTATGTGGACGGAGGCCAGACCTACACCCGCGGCATTGTATCCTACGGCTCCAGCACCGGTTGCGAAACCGGAGTCCCGGTTGTTTACACCCGCGTCACCCACTACCTCGACTGGATCTCTGATATAACTGGCATCGCTGTTGATTCTTGAATTCATTCATTTAACTTCAAGCGCTAAATTGAAATAAAGTATTTAAACTGCCAATAGATCAAAATTTTTAACCATTGGTGATTTCAGTAACCTAAGAATAAAGCGATATAATGTTTATATCCTGCAACGCGCTATGATATTCACCACGTCCTTCACGCCGCTCAATTGAGTTTGCTTTGTACGTGCTTTGTACGACATGAGGCTATGGAATCATGTCGTACTGTAATATTCAGCAGATAGCTTGCTGACAGAGATCAGGCTGGTGGGTGCCTTGGTCACCCAAGCCTTCATCAACTATAAAAAAATATATCTCGGTACTCACTGCAGTGAGTGACAGAGAGCGCATTTTCTCGTCGACGAAAACTTGAGGTCACGGACGGACAGACGGACGGACAGACAGACAGACGGACATGGCGAGCACAATAGTGCATTTTTTCCATAAATGAGAAAATGCGCTAAAAATCAGATACCTCTGCAAGTAACGATTCAATGATATTTCAGTTTTAAAATGCCTTTGGTTGGAATGTGCACGCACGTAACTCCAAAAGAAACTAAAAACATTATCGCATATCTAAAAAATGAAATCAAGCCGCTTGACGTTGGTATAATTACCTAATTGTACCATCGAAGCTCCAGAGAAAAACACTTGAGAGACAATGAGTCAAATTCAGTGCGATTGAAATTAGTTTTGGAAATATATCCAAAGCTATTTTACGGGCATCATAGACCAATAGTTCAAGCTGCAATAATTAATATGAATTACTCGAAGAATGACGTAATAGTGTTTAAAAACATGTTCCCGCGAACAAAAAGTGACAGTCTCAAACTTTCAACTTTAATTATATTTTTAAGTAGGGCACTTTGCTAAGAAGCACACAGAGAAATATGGGCAATACTTGACAGATTAAAATTGCCGGCGCAAGATGAATATATTGGTGTACGTCTCGACTATAATCATAACCAACATTAATTTGCATAACGATGATTCTCGTTACAAACGAAAATAGTCTTTTGTCACAGGAATTATCTCACTGAATATTTTGGAGCTTACCGAGTAGATACGAGCCGACTTTATAGGGAGGAAAAGTGAAAGTGAGTGTTATAATTATTGAGCCAATAATTTGGGCAGCTGTTGAACGCAATCGATGTTGAAGTTTCTGAGTTATAAAGAATATAAGACGCGTATCATACAATTATCAAGTGCTTTGGGAATGAATAACTGGTGGTCATATTTCTCAAGTGATGCAGTTAGTCCCTCAAGCGAATTGTTAGACGGAAAAAGTTAAGTCCCAACGATAAACTCGATGTTCATCAGCTGGTCGTTCGTTGTTGCGGTGGTCTTCTATTCAGCCTTAATTGTAGGTGGAGCAATTAATATTAAAATTAAGTCCTGAATTATTCTAATTTATTCATTAAAAAACTTGATCGCTTCATATACTGATCGATTTTTGTTTCCATTCGGTCAAGTCCACAAATGGAGGTACTGTATACACATCTCTAATCCATCAGGTTAAATCTAATGTTACATCAGGTTAAATTCCTTTGTAAAAATAATTACAGTATAATCGCCCCTGTAACCATTTGTTGTAATTTTCTTGGATAATTTATTGGTATTAACATGACCCTATTGAGGTAATGTTCCTCATTACCTATTGATTCGTACATTCGTTAACAAATGATTTGAATGCACGACATTCGGCTGTGCATCCTTTTTAGCGCATTTTCTCATTTATGGCAAAAATACACTATTGTGCTCGCCATGTCCGTCTGTCTGTCTGTCTGTTCGTCTGTCCGTCCGTCTGTCCGTGACCTCAAGTTTTCGTCGACGAGAAAATGCGCTCTCTGTCACTCACTGCAGTGAGTACTGAGTTATATTTTTTAAATATCTTTCAAATATTTCGCTCTCTTCACACCTGAGCCAGCACCAAATCTGAAATTCAAGATGCTCACGACCACAGATACATTGTGCAGTGTGCAATATGCAGGACACGCGTGATCCTGGAGAACAGGATATAAAAATATATAACTCAGTACTCACTGCAGTGAGTGACAGAGAGCGCATTTTCTCAAAATCGACGAAAACTGTGAAGTCACGGACAGACGGACGGACGGATGAACGGACGGACGGACGGACATTACGAGCATAACAGGGCATTTTTCCATAAATGAGCAAATGCGCTAAAAATTGTTTTTTTTTTTTTTGGGAAGGGGAATAAAATTTTCTATTGTTACCGCTGTAACATATTCTAAGTTTGGCCGCGTACCATCAAAGATGGTCTTCACGTTAATCTAACACGAATATGTAATTAATGCAAATAATTAGGATATAGAACACTGTAAAATTTAATTTCAGTCTGCAAACACATTAAAGAAGTATAAAGTAAAAAGTTGGCCAACGCCCTTGCCGACGGGCTAAAATTACTTTACAGGGGTCTGCCAACTAATTTCAATGTAGATAAAAAACGTAGATTTATATAATTATATAGGATAAGCTCCCAGTACAAAAGAATGTAGTCAAGATAGCTAATTGCTGACTAGCGTCTTCATGCCGTACAACATTATAGACGGCGTTAAGAGCTAAATAACATAATCAGACGCTGAAGAATATCTGCTACACAAAATGCAGATGAGCTGCGGCACTATGATCCATTACTTGATGGATCATAGTGTCTATCAAGTGATCCTGCTGTTTACACTCTATCTGCTGTTTACACTCTATCTGCTGTTTACATCCTGCTGTTTACACTCTACCTGCTGTTTACATCCTGCTGTTTACATCCTGCTGTTTACATCCTGCTGTTTACATCCTGCTGTTTACATCCTGCTGTTTACATCCTGCTGTTTACACTCTATCTGCTGTTTACGCTCTATCTGCTGTTTACATCCTGCTGTTTACAAAAGTTGGTACAGTTGCCACTGTAGATGACAGTGGCAACTGCTTAGTAGTTCACAGCGGTGATTGCTAAGTAGATCACATTGGTGATTGCAAAGTAGATCGCAGCAGTGAATGCTAAGTAGATCACAGCGGCGATTGCAAAGTAGATCACAGCGGTGATTGCTAAGTAGATCACAGCGGTGATTGCTAAGTAGATCACAGCGGCGATTGCAAGGTAGATCACAGTGGCGATTGCTAAGTCGATCATAGCGGCAATTGATAAGTAGATCACAGCGGCGATTGATAAGTAGATCACAGCGGCGATTGATAAGTAGATCAACAGCGGCGATTGCTAAGTAGATCACAGTGGCTAACGCAGTCTCTGGACACTGCAGCCAGTGATGATAATTATTTCATTGAAAACAATGCATTCCATTGCATTCTGTACGGGCGAGTAACGAAACAATAGTGAGCTTGAAAAATTGTTGGTCAAGTTGGAATCGGACTATATCGAGTGTCGAGCTGGCATTGTGTAATTAAGGTTTAATATCAAGAAGATGTTAAAATATTGCGGAAAATCGTAAAAACATGCGAGAAATGTTGTCAGTCATTTAGCAAGAGCCGCTCATGAAGTCGAGATTCTGAGAAAAGGCCATCCGGCAATATAGCGGATGTCGCAATAACGAAATTCCAATTAATGATTAAAACAATGGTTGAAATGAAGACAGGACTTGGTGTGGACAAAATATGGCACAGGAAGACTAATTTTCTTGCCCTGACTCCACTTATTAGCGCATTTTCTCATTTATGGAAAAAATGCACTATTGTGCTCGCCATGTCCGTCCGTCCGTCTGTCTGTCTGTCTGTCCGTCTGTCCGTGACCTTGAGTTTTCGTCGACGAGAAAATGCGCTCTCTGTCACTCACTGCAATGAGTACTGAGTTATCTTTTTTTGATCAAGTCTTCACAAAATTGGAAGAGCAGACGCCTATGAACAAAAAATGCCTGACCCTGGAAATAAAATACTACCGTGATACGTCTTCGGGCATGTAATCTTCCAGAAAAATTCATTTACAAATCTATTTTAAATTCTATTGTGGCATTCAAATTTTTTGATGCGGTTAGTGGGACACATAAATTTTCCTCGACTATTAAAGATTTGGTTATAAGTCTTTCAAAATATTGACAAATCGCCAAGTTAATGTCAGAGATTAATGTATAATGCCAAAGATTTTTATGTAAAAATTTTTAACTAACCGCATTTATTGTTTATCTCTAACTAGTTTATTTTCTATGCGTTCTCATAGTTTACATGCTGATCAGACCTTTTGTATAGGGAAGGTAATTTACTTTTTGGAGGAGATTTTAAGACTCGTGTAGTTGTTCGTAAGCCGCCTATAGCAGTTCACACAATATTTCGGTGCTTTACTAGCAAACCTTTATACCGTGTTTCTATTTCTCATATCTATTTATTATAGTTGGGTTATATGTTCATTAATCGATAGAATTTTTTTCATTCTTGCCCCCAGTTTCTGGTCAGAATCGGCGAGGAGGCCGGGCGGTTAGCACATAAAATTGGAGTAGCGAGTTGCGAGTTCGAGACCTCAACAAGCTGTGACTGTTATGCAATGTCAAAAATCGCTGACAGGCCTATACAGCCTAATATATAAACGCTGATACCGCTAAATATATCTTTCCTTCTAATAAAACAAGTTGTTATCAAACAGTGGAGTTTTATAACAAACGCGTCAGCTAATGTCAACGCCAACTCATTAGAACGCAAAGGCATATATGTACATAATATATAGTGCCTTAGGTGGAAAGATAATTTAAGAAAACTTTCTTCTATTGAAGTATTTCTTTGAACTTGTTTTCTCATATGGCGGCCATGACAGAATATTATATGATTGGTCCATGACATGCGCTTTATAAAGTGCAACCACGAAACATTCATAAGACGATCATTATAAAGAATATGAAAAATTATTAATAAACAATATCAATATGAATAATGAGATATCATATATAAATAAACTTACTGAACCGTAAAAGACCGTACTTCACGCACACGTTAGCGGCCGTACCGCGTGCATCCCCGCTACACGCAGTCGTTCTTTCTCCGTAGC